GTTCTCGTAGTAATGCCACTCGCAGTGGACATGCTAATACTATTCAGATGGTGGTGTGAGCTTCCTGGGTTGGTGTATTGGCCAGGTCACGTGTTACTTAGTTTGTAGCAGTCACTGCTGAGCAGAAGCGCGTATGTAACTATAACGCCTGTGGGCTGTGTTAAGGGCACTCCGCTGCGCCAAATAACACCCTCGTTTTGACCCAGTGGGGAGCGAGGTGTTACATTTGGAATCAGAGCCAAGGGTTCGAATCCTGGCTGGACCACACTTTCCGCCTTTGGCGAGAACTGAAGTGCGGTTGTAACCGGCTCGAACCCAGCGAACGATCCTCCGCTGGCCTGGTCCACCAATGAAGTCGCTGCTTGGAGCACAGCGAGCAGGTCCCTGCGGGGGCCGACTCCCTGAAGTTCGTCAACGGGGACGTTGACACCAGGGGGGGATGAGTGTAACGCCTGTGGGCTGTGTTAAGGGCACTCCGCTGCGCCAAATAACACCCTCGTTTTGACCCAGTGGGGAGCGAGGTGTTATAGTAATTGTGCTCTACTTTGTAACTGAGCAGATTAAATATCGGAGTCCGACTCGGAGACGTTGAAAATAAGAGCCTTTGTGGATTTTCTGCAGACGTGCTGCAGATATGAAGCCCTTAGGAGGCAGGTGGCAGTGGCTTGCGTGCCGCACGCAATTTTTGTTTCAAAAGCGGCTTTTTTCCTACTATACTAATGATTTTGTCAAAGTTAGAAGTTCCTACTACTACTAGTAGTAGTAGCGCCTCGGTCACAGCAGAAATCAGACTCTTCGGACTTAAATTGGTGTGGTTTACTCCTAACAGACACAAAGCGCTTTTGAACATACTATTTTCAGGTTCTAGATCCCATCTTGGTTCAAGTCAATGGTGCTGCTGTTGTTTGTTGAGTGCTTGCTCAGCAGGCTGCATACAACTAGTGCGGAACACAGGAGTGTGCCCACGATGGGAAAACCGAACCGAACTGACCGCCCATCCTAATCGAGGAAGGAATATTATAGTGTATCTGTCCTCCTCTGTCTTGTATGTCTTTACGTTTTCTGTTATGTACCTTGAAGTGAGCGGTGGTGTACTGTCACGTTAGATAGCAGCTTTGGAAGTTTCTCGGCGCATGCAATACAGGTCATTACAGTACATTACTGTGCTTGGGGCAGGTCACACTTTCTTCAATGATATCGGTTGACTACGATGTTGGGCTTTTCTAGAACGGTTGATAGCTTCACCGCTTTGAGCAGTGATATGAGCTGTGCATATGTTTGAAGTGTGCATGTACAGTCGATGCTCAGCCTATAACAGAACGGCGCTGTTCTGTAGGCGTTAAATTTGTAAAAACTGGGTCCGCGGAATTTTTGTTGATAAGTAAGCTTCTGCCTATCAAGGTTTGGTGATACGAGAGGTCTCGCCAAACCTGTTTGCGCCAAATTTGACGCTGCTGCCTGCAGAAAATCAATTTTTTGGGCGCACGAATTTAACGGAGTGAAGGTTCCGGGATGTAGCATCGCCAGGGAAATAACCGCACAACTTGTGCGCTCCCAAATCAACCTCGAAAGCTAGAATCAGCCAGCGCATAAGGGCGTGTTACATGTTTTATTTTTTTGTCCGGACGGCCAACCATCCGGACGGTTGTGTGGTTACGAAACTCGTTAAAGCTCAGCAGTGATTTCGTCAGGGTCTAAACGACGTCGCGTTCTTCGTTCTGCCTCCTTACGACATCGCGTTGGTCGCAACACGACCTTGCGACGTCGCAATAATTGAACGCGCCCGGACAGCCGTCCGGACTTTCAGCGACTTAGAAAAATGTAACACGCCCTAATTTATGCCCTAATTGAGAGATTTAGCGAGACTTCGTGGCAACATCGGTCCATCAAATTGAGAAATGCGGGATTTGGATGCGGTGAGAAACTACTTGGAAGGACTTGCCTGTACATTTCATGCGGAAGCATTAACGCCTACAGAACAGCGCCAACATTTGCTCCTCGTAATAGAAATTTAGTCACTCGCGAACGTTTTGCCCGTGAGTGACTAAATTGACCATTGTGCCGATTTCGGGGTACAGTCACCAAGTTGAGGAAGAAAAACATGTACAGTACATAAACAGCAACGGTTGCCCGTCATAAGAGAAGTTAACCTGGTTACGAAATAAAAGCCCTTGATTGGATTCACGTTGCAAATTCATATTACTGTCACATTTTTGCACGTGGCGACAAGGGTGGATGTGGCGAAAATCCTCCAACACGTTTCACGCACATGCCGCCCGCCTACCTGGTGTTCTTGAAATGGGTACCGACTGTACGGCGCAGGCTACCCAGCCTGAAGAAAAAATCTGTTCCGTTCCGTTGTTCCCTGCTGGACTCGTGGTTGGTTCGATTCGATCACTCCGCTCCGCCCCAGGCGTGTTTGTCGATGTCCGTTTCGTTTCAACCCCCCGACTCAACAGCTACTTCGTTTTCATTGAGCACCAGGCAACGAAAATCAACCGCAACAAGATTAGTGATTCGGACTGGGTGGATATCGTGTACAGTCAGTGCCCATTTCAAGAACACCAGGTAGCCGGGCGGCATGTGCGTGAAACATGTTTTGGGCTTTTCGCCACGTTCGCTCTTGTCGCCACGGGCAAAAATGTGACAGTAACATGAAATTGCAACGTGAATCAAGTTAAGGGCTTTAATGTTGTAACCAGGTAAACTTCTTTGATGACGGGCAACCGTTGTTTATGTACTGTAGATGTTTTTCTTCCTCAACTTGGTGACTGTACCCCGAAATCGGCATAATTGTCATTTTAGTCACTCACGGGCAAAACGTTCGCGAGTGACTAAATTTCTAATTGTCGGGAGAAAATGTTTTGTGATAGGCTGAGCATCGACTGTACCAGCTGTTATTTCTCCCACAATTTTCACACAAATGCTTCCACAATTCTGCAACGCGCTCACACCACTGAATCGTTTCGGCCTACTGTACTTGCACCATGTGATGACTCTGATTTGATCACGACTGTAGAGGTGTGTGGCTCGACACCGTCAGCGATCTTGGCACCAGCCAAGAACGTACAGTCTAGCCGAAAGGAAACACACCGATTCATCCCCCTCATTTCGTGACACAGTGCTTTCTGGCTTACGACACCATAGATACATGTGCCATGATCAGTTGCTGCCACTCTAGCAACATCCTAATGTGACAAATCACGGCTTGTCTTATTTACTGGACATTTTGAGCTGGCCAGCCGGAGAAGCTTCAATGAAAAGCGCTTTTAGGAACATTTGTCCTTCCAATTGGGCATGTCATTGATATGGCGGGCCTGTTAGAGGGGTGTTTACTGTTCATTCCGAACAGTATATTCCTAATCACCATTATCCTTATCTTCTCAGATTCTCTAGTGCCACGTGGCACTCTACTTTTCTTGCACTCCAATTCTTGGTCCCACATTCCACTTTCCAACCTTGTTTCTTGCATGCTATATAAACCTTGCTTGTACTTGCCATTATCAATCAATTCTCATTCAACTCTTCTTCAATTACTCAGTAACTTCTTCGCCTATTTCGCCAATAGTTCTTTCGCCAAAGTCTTCCGCCGCGTTTCATCCTCGACTTAGTCGACCCCGCTAATTCTTTAGCGGACTTAGGCCGTCGGGCCTAACAGGCCTCACCACTACACTTCTTATAGTATGACTTAAAATAAAGACTGATTTTATCCCTCAATAAGATGTTCTGAAGGCGAGAGGTCATTTTATCGACGCCACTTGTGATACACCTCGCCGTATTCGCCACTCGCCTCTCTGCCTACATTATCGCCCCAAACCACCTCCAAATCGCCCCCGTACCAATCGCTATCATTCGATACCATATTTGACCGACGTCCCCCCCCTTGCTAGGATTCTCCTTTACTGTCACTCCCATTATATCGACATTCAGTTGATCATAGGCTCGTTATTCCATTATTCCGTGCAGACTGTAGAGTAAGTTCATCCATAACATTTACAATCTAATTCACCATCCTCGGTACCATGTACTACACCTGCTTGGATGTTCCCTCATCACAGCTTATTCCACCTAGCGTTCCGCCCCTCCTCCACCCCTCCGTGTCGCGTCCTCCCTGCTCATAATTCTCCTGGCAAAGCGCTGCTCATCCAGCTAGCTACTTAATTCCCGCGTATGGACCCGATGCTCATGTCCTTCGCGGCCGGATTCTGCGGGCAGGCAGCGGCCGTGGTGTTGAGGCTGCGACCCACGCTGCTGTTTCTGGAGCGACTCGTACAGTCGCTGCTAGAGCCGAGGATAGGCCGCCGCAATACGCGCACGCTGCTAGCGCGCGAGCTGTGAAACGGGGGAGCGCGGAGCGGGGAAGGGCGGCGGAGGTGGCGCAGGTGGTGAGCGGGAGGGGGCGGGGGAGATGACGGGGGTGGTGAGCGGAAAGCGGAGGTCGAAGAAGAGAGGCCAAGCGCTTGCCGGAACGCGGGCTTCTAGGGACGAACACAGTCCCCCCTGTACAGTTTAGGTGCCAAATTAATTAACATTAGTCTTTGTACTTTCTCTCTGCGCGTGGCATCTTGCTCTTGGGTTAGGAGCCTAGCACGCTGCCAATAGTGCTAAGTCGTTGGGTTTCCTGACATCTATAGGACTTCCTTGGTGCAGCCGATTGTACTTATCACAGGGAATTTACAACATCAGTCAATTTGGGACAAAGTGAAACCTAGGGTGTTGTGGATTGGACTGTACAAGTCTATCCCAAGCTGAGAGCAGCAGTAAGTAACCCTTGTAAATTCTAGCAGCTGATGATATACCATGCCTTCATGCCATGCCATGTGGCTATGCCATACCATCCAACCGTTATGTTCGCCAGACCATGACAATATAGCAAAGCCATCCCATGCAACACGATCGCACCATCCTACCATCCCATCCCACCAACTCATGATGCCACTATGCCCATACACATGCACTACGCCATCCCATGCCATGCATGCGACTCCCACCTATCCCTGTCAACCCAACGGGCTGTCCCCTACTGCTAACCGCTCCACACCTTCCGACACCTCCTCCACTCCCTCCCCCTTCTCTTCTCCCTCCTCTTCCTCTGCCCTGCTCCCCCCCTCCTCCTCCTCCCCGTAATGTTCCGGTTCCACAAACCGTAGCCAGTTACTCGCCTGGCTCCGAAACTGCGCGGCATCTGACTCCTCCTCTTCCTCCTCCTCCTCACTCTCATTCCCCTGGCCCGCCTCTCCCCCCGCCTCCTCCTCCCTCACGCCCCTCTCCTCTGCCTCCCCTGCAAGGGGACCCCCAGTGGTACCTTCCCTGGAAAGCACCTCCCCTTCTGTCCCTTCCAGTGCCTGTGCTGCAGCACTGGTTGCCTCCTCCCCATCATCCTCCCCTGCAGTTACATCACTGCTACTGCCACTCACCCCTCTCACTGCCTCCCCTACGCCTCCCCCTCCCAATCCTGCTCCAATGCCTGTACCTGGAAGAGCCTCAATCGAATGAAGGGATGTAGAAGGAGAAAGGGAACCCACAAGTGCGTCACGACCAACTGCTGGTAAAGCACTGGTTTCCCCAGCCCCTGCTGCAGCATCTGCTGCTGCTGGTGGTTCCGTCAGCAGAGCAGCTGCTGCCGTGAGAGCAGTTGCAGCAGCCACAGAAGCAGCAGTAGATGCGGTGACACCAGGCACTGGCTCTCCTATTTCTGGTACCGGCACCAAAGGTGGTGGTGGCTGCAGCGGCGAGCCTTGCCAAGCCAGGCCAAGAGGATCGAGCGGAGGTGAAAGAGGATCGAAAGGATTGGCCGAAGCTAGCGGCGAGGCATGGTGTTCCAGGAGTGCAGGCGTGGAGAGAGGCAGAGAGGAGGAGGAGGAGGGCAAGTCGTGCGGAGCCAAAGGGATGGACGAGGAGAAGACAGAAGCAGCAGAGGTGAAAGAAGACGCTGCAGAATCAACAGCCCCAGCAGAAGAACCCGCAGGAGCAGCGAGCGCATGAGCGTGCGAATCAGCAAAACCGGAAGAAGCATCACCAGCAGTAGAAGCGACAGCAGAAGCCACAGAAGCCGCAGAAGCGGCAGAAGCAGCGGCAGAAGACGCAGGAACCACAGCAGGAAGAGTAGGGGCGAGAATGTCGGTATGCCCAGGCTCTCTCTCAGCATCCACTCGGCGCAGGTGCAGGAAGAGGTGCAGGTTCACCTCATCGGCTCGCGAGAGGAAGGGAAAGTCGCCGCCGCTCTTGAGGAAGGCACGCGTGGCGTTGGGGTAGCGCGTGTACAGCGCGTCCCGCAGTTGCCCTGAGGGGTGGCGTTTGAAGGGATGGGGACGGATCGGGAGAGGTGTGGAGGGGCGTGGAGGGGTGTGGAGGGGTGTGGAGGGGTGTGGAGGGGTGTGGAGGGATATGGGGGGGAGGTTAAAGGCGGTTGAAAGAGGTGCACATAGCCAGGAGAGGGCAGGTGTATGATGCTTGCCGAGGCAGCAGCATTCCCAAGGAATAATCTCAAACAGCACATACAAACCAACCCCACACATCCCAACGCACACCGACACCATTCCTGCACCCACCCAAGCAAACCAACCCCTTCAACCCCACCCATCCCACGCCCCTCCCCCGCCTCACAGGCGACAGCAGCAAAGTCATTGCAGTCCATGAGAGTCATGCTCTGCTCTGGCATCTGCTGCAGTGGCGGCAGCACGGCAGGCAGCGTGTTGAGAGTGAGGCGCGAAGCGAGCTCAGCGCGAGAGAGAGAATCCAGGCGCGAGACAACAAAGTCGATAGAGTCCGCTATCAGTGGCTCGTGCGGGCCGTCCCTCAGGCCTGAGAGCACCAGACGCTTCAGCACGAAATCGGGCGAGTAGGGGAACCTGGGGAAGAGAGGGAGCGAGGGAGGGAGGGGTAGGCAGGCGGGGACATGGGACGGCAGGGAGAGAGGCAGGGAAAGAGACAGGGAGAGAGGCACAGAGGGAGGCAAGGAGATGTATACACGCATACAAGGGTACTTGCATACACACGTGCATGGGTACAATGGCGCATGCAGGCAGACATGCATGCATACAAACACGCGCACATACATGGAGGACCAGGAGCCAGCAACATAACAAAAGTGTGTGTTGAAGAATGAGTTGGAGAACAGGCAACAACACATGTATACCGTACATACAGACGTGCATTCGTGTATGTAGGCATACGCACATACATGGAGGACCAAGAACCAAAGGCAACGTTGAAAGAAGTGCGTGTCAAAGAACGAGTTGGAGAGCACGAGCACACATGGGCACACGCACACAGGGACAGGGACATACACACGTACATGCAAGCATGCATACAGGCGAGCACACATACATGGAGGACCAGGAGCCGAAGGCAACGTTGAAGAAGTGCGTGTCAAAGAACGAGTTGGAGAGCACGAGTGATAGCACCCGCCGCGGCCGCTGCTGCGCGTACAGCTGGAACAGAAACCCGCCCAGTGACGTGCCATATAGATGCACCTGGGGGGGAAAGGGAGGTGAATAAGAGAATAACGGGGGGGGGAAGGGGAAGGGGGGGGGGGGGAGGGAAAGGGGAGGGAAGGGGGAGGGGGAACTGGCGGCAGATCAAGAGTGGAGGAGAGGTGCAAGGACGCATAAACAGAAACAAATCACGCACTGAAGGTAACGCAGCAGATCAGAATACAGAATACAAACATCCACCCCGTGTAATCCGTCCTCCATTGCTTCCTTTTCCCACCCCAATCCCTCCCCTTCCCTTCCCCACCTCCCCTGGTCCCTTAACCAAGCCATTCCCTCCCCTCCCCTCCCCTTCCCCATCCCACCCCTCCCCTCCCTTCCCCTCCCCATCCGCCACCGCAGCCCTATCTCCCACCCCCACGCTTCCCCCCCTTCTCACCCTCTCCCCGCCCGCCTTCCCCCCCCACGCGTCGCGCCTACCTGGTGCACCCGGAGCGCGTCTAGAAATTGGTCGACGGCTTTAATCCACTGCTGGTGCGACCACACGGGCGGGGGGTCCGCGGCGATCACGCGGAAGCCCTTGGCGGCGAGCGCGAGCACCTGCTTGTGGAAGGCGTCCGCGGTCGCCGCCACGCCACCCAGACACAGTAGCGGCGGGATCGCCTTGGGGCCGAAGTCGTAGTAGCGCCAGCTGCGGGGAGGCCGAGGGGAGAGATGCGGGGAGGCGGAGAGGGGCGGGGAAGGGGGAAACGGGCGGGGAAAGCAGAAAGAGGCGGGGAGGGGGGAGAGGAGGGAAAGGGGGAAGGGATGGGAGAGAGGCGGACAAGAAAGTGCGGGGGCGGAGAAAAAAAGGGAGAGGGGCGGTTAGGAAACAAAGAGAGCGGGTGGCATGACGAATAAGGCGCATGAAACTGGATGGGCGCTGTGACGTGGCACACCAGATACAGATCGCCAGTGACAACACATGCCCCAAGCAGGGACACACTGGCGCGTAGACGCATTCGACGCTGGCTCTTGAGCTGGCATTCCAGAAAAACAAACGTTAGCTCCCCTCTGCGTGCTTCACAGAGTGTTTTTGAGAATTCTCAAAAACACCCTGCAGGGTCAACGCAGGGACGCATCGGCGCATAAACGCGTCCTATGCTAGCTCTGACAGCTTCTCTTGATCCTCTCCGTGCTTGATGTAAGAATGGAGAGACAGCAGCGACAACGGCGGAGACGGCAACGGCAACGGCGACGGCAACGCCAACGGCAACGGCAAGTGCAAAGTGCAACGGCGGCGGCAGCGGCAACGGCAGGCGGTAGCGGCGGCAGCAGCGAGGAGCGTACCGCAGCTGGTTTCCGACACCGACGGAGATCTGGCGCTCCGGCACCGTGGCTTTAAAGTGCTTGTACTGGTAGTCGTGCTGCTGCCCCATGCCTGCTGCTCCCCACCTGTTCTCCTCTCCAATACAATCAATTTGCCGATCCTCCTGCCGGCTCGTTGTTACAGACCGACACGAGGATGCGAGTGTTGATGAATACGGACGGAGAATTTGAATTTACGAGGAGACGCGGATTCGAGGATTTCTAAATTCGACAAGTCGAGGAATCGAGTATCCAAGTGGATTTCTCCTATTCGTCTTCTTTTTTTTCTTCTCCCTTTTTTTTTCCACCACCGCAAAGTTTTTTCTCAGAGATCGGTTCTTCTATATGGCGAGATCCTAGAGATTATCGCGATCCGACCCCTCAGGCGGACGCCCGCACGGCCAACGTCGCAAGGAACGGCAGCGCAAACTCGAAGCTTCTACTAAGTGCGAAAACCTGAACGAGCAGCGAGAAACACGGTAGCCACCTCGACCCTCGTGCATACTACGGCGTGTAATGGACGGCTAGTTTACTACCTCAGCGCCTAAAAGCGTGGCACGCATAACCTGGACAAAATAAAGAAATGAAAAGGCTCGCCCGCGGGTTGCGCGTTTCAGAAAGTTTCTGTAAATATCTATTCGTTGCATGTCAGATTCTGAACGGCAGGAAGCTCGTGTCGTGCTGGAAAGAAACGCGATAAAGGCATGTGCCGTATGTACGGCATCAGCATTATAAGAACCCCGGCATTACATGAGTGTTACAGTTGATCAGTATTACATGAAAAATACCCTATGAAACCAGGTCACACTTCATTATGACCACCACTTTAAAGAGCGCATTCAGCAACACAGTGAGCTTGCGATATACAGCTTTCAAACTCAAATTATTCTGTGCTATATGGATAAAAAATGCCATATCCATTTCTTCCATCATGATTGTTATTATACAAACTCCCTCCCAAGATCTTGGGTAGTCGGAAATGGCTCACACTCACTCATCTTCGTCCTCATCCTCCTCGTCCCCATAGAATGCGAACATACCCGCGTCCTCCTGTCCACCACCGTCCTCCTGCGTCCCATCTTCCTGCAATCTCCCCAACCCACCCAGCCCCCCCAATGCCCCCAATGCTCCCTGAAGCGCAGCACCAGCTATTATTTGCCCTAGGGTACCTGTAGGCTCTGCGAGTGACGGTTGTGATGGGTGAGGTGCGGTGAAGTCTGCATCAGCAGTGAGTGGCGACAGGTGCCCCAGTAGCGTATGAAGGTAATTCCCATGCGTGTGCATGTGTGTGTGTGTGTCCGTGTGCGAGTGCAAATGCAAGTGCCCTTCACCTCTTTCCTCTGTTTGGGTGGTCTCATCTGCTTGCCTTCCACTGTACTCCCCATCCTCCTCCTCTTCCCCCATCACCATCTCATTCTCCTCGTCCTCCTCGTCCTCCTCTTCCCCTCTTTCCTCTCCTTCCCCTGCTTGCCCACCTCCTCTCCCTCGTCCCTCTCCATCCCCTCCTTCCTCCGCACCCATTGCCCACACATCGTCCCCCATTGTGGCACCCTCTCCTTCACCATCATCCACAAACAAACCCCCTTTTTCCTCTCCCTCTCTACCATCCTCTCTATCCTCCTCCCTATCCTCCTTTCTCCCGTCCTCCCTGCCCTCCTCTCCCTCCTCCCCCCTATCCTCCTCCCCCACATCCCCCCCATACATTGCCAAAAGAGGCCCCCCTTCTGTATCCTCCTCCTGCATCTCCTCCTCTCGCTCCACCCACTCATGCACATCCCCACCCCGCCCCACCCCTTCCACACCCTCCCTCCCTCCTTCCCCATCTCCTCGGTTCTCCCTCTCCACTCCCCCTTCTGCACCCCCCTCTCCATAGCCTTTGCTTCCCAAGCTATCACCCCCAGCCCCCCATCCCACACCACCATGCCTACCCCCATCTCCTGCATCCTCCTCCCCACCTACCTCCCCCCCACCTGACTCCCATCGCCCTACCAAACCCTCTCCCGTTTCCTCCTCGCCTCCCAGTTCCCCTCCCGCGCGCCCTTCCTCTCCCCCCCCACTCACGTTCCCCACTCCCTTCCCCTCCCCTCCTCCCCCCCCTTCCCCACCTCCCTTTCCCCCTCCCTCCCTTCCTCCCTTCCCCCCTCCCTCCCCTCCACCCAACCCCCCACTCTCCGGCTTCCTCCAGACGCTTCCTTTCCTCTCCCCGGTCAGGTACGCGTCTTCTTCGGGCAGGCTGAGCTCTCCGGGGGGCAGCTTGACGGGTTTGCGCACGGAGTAGCCGCGCGTGTTGCGCACGCGCGGGTAGAAGAGCGAGAGCTCGTGGCGGTTGGGCAGCAGGCGGTAGAACGCCAGGCGCACTGCGTCTCGCATGCGCGCTAGAGTCTGCTTGTGGAAGAACCCCGACGTGGGCTGCACAAGCGACAGGGAGAGGTCGCAGAGCGTGAGGAAGAGAAACCAGTCAGCCCTAACGACTTATAAAGCAGTCCCGCTCACTCACCCGCAGCCCCGCACACACTCACATCACATGTTTGCCTCTCAGGCAGTGCTGCGAGAGTCTCTTGCACGAGCGGCAGCGAGAGGTCGCAGAGCGTGAGGAAGAGCGTGCGGCGGTTGGGCAGGCAGCGCAGCGCACAGATGTCAGGCCATGTGGTGCTGCGTGCCATGGCTGGGGTGATTCGCAGCCCCCATGAGGCTGGCACTCGGAAATCTAACATTTGGTATCTGATGGGTGGGTGGAGGGGGGAAATGGGCGGACGGGGGAGATGGGCATGGGAATTGGGGGAATGGGGAGAATGTGGAGACGGGGAAAGGAGAATGGTTGGGAAGGGAGCGAAGGGCACAGATGTCGGTCTTAGAACTTAGGCTTAGAAGCGATGCATTAGAAATGAGCTTGAAACTCTTTAAATACATCCAAGAAGGGGAGGGAATGGATGGGGAAGGGAATCGGGGGCAATCCTAGGGATTAGGGGTAATCCCAAGGCAATCTCCAATTGGTGGGTTGGAGATTGCTTGGAGATTACATTTTGGGTTTGGTTGGGATGTAGGTGTACACCCAACCAAACACAATGTGCAAACTACACTACTCTAGGATATAGAAAATACAAAGTACAAAGTGTTAGATTGAAGGCTAACACTAACACCCCCCCATAGGCGTCAATCGAACTCATGGTAGAGAGGGTGGTGCACAGAGCCCCATGGCGCCTAGGAGACGGTGGTGGGGAACTTTCCCAAGGGGCTTGGTGAACAGATCAGCCAGGTTGCAGTCGGATGCAACGTATTCCACTTTCAGCTGCTCCTGTTGGACAAGGTCACGGATGAAGAAGTGCCGAAGTTCAATATGCTTGGTGCGGGTGTGATACACAGGGTCTTGAGAGATGTGGATGGTACTCTGGTTGTCACACCAGAGGGTGGGGGCGGACTGTGGGAAACCAAGCTCCTGGAGTAGGAAGGTCAGCCAACGGGCCTCCTTAGCAGCCATGGTGCATGCGTAGAGCTCTGCCTCACAGGAGGAGAGGGAGACTGCAGACGACCTGGTGGAGCGTCAACTGACAATTCCGCTCCCAAGGGTGAAGCAGTACCCCCGAGAGGAGCGTCGGTCGGTCTGGTCATCAGCCCAGGAGGAGTCGGTGTAACCTTCCAGGCGAGGAGGGGAGAGCCCACCGAGTGTGAGAACGTGAGACTTGGTGCCCTGAAGATAGCGCAGCACCCGCTTCGCCGCCTTCCAGTGAAGATCAGTGAAGCGTCCAGGGGCCACGTAGCGAGAGAAGACACTGACAGGATAGGCCAAGTCCGGTCGGGTGCACATCATGGCGTACATGAGGGACCCAACAAGCTCCGGGTATGGCTCAGAGCAGGCCTCTGGTGTGGGTACAGCTGGAGCAGTGAGGAGGTGTTGCAGCGGCAGCGGGGTGGCAACAGGTGTGCACAGCTCCATCTCAAACCGCTTGAGTACATTGTCGATGTGGAACTCCTGGGAGAGTGAAATGGTGCGAGCCTGGCGATCACGAGTGATCTCCATCCCCAGGTAGTGCTTGAGGTCACCGAGGTCTTTCATCTGGAGAGCCTTGCTCAGGGCTGCCTCGACAGAGGTCATCTAGGCCGAGTCCTTGGCAACGAGGATGAAATCATCCACGTAGACCAGGATGTAGAATGGCTCAAAATGATGGCGGATGAAGAGAGTCGGGTCAGCAGTTGAAGGGTGGAAGTACAGGAAGAGGAGGACTTCTTTCATTTTGTTGTGCCATTCGCGAGGGGCTTGCTTAAGGCCGTAGACGGGGCGATTCAGCTTCCAGACAGTGTTCGGAGAGAATTCTCCTAGGAAGCCTTCTGGTCTGTCCATGAACACTCTCTCCTTGAGACGTCCTTGTAGGAAGGCGGATGAGGCATCCATGGATTTGATCTCAAAGTCTTCTCGAGCCGCAACATCCATGAGCGTACGAATGGTGGGAGGTTTGGATGTAGGGGAGAAGGTTAGGAAGAAGTCGCGGTACTGCTGCTGGGTGAAGCCCTTGGCTACGTAAAGCGCTTTGAACACCAGGGCCTTGTCTGGGAGCTGTTTTACATGGAATAACCACTTGCCCCCGACGATGATGACTCCTGGAGGTAGAGTCTCGTCGTCGGAGTGGTTGCGGGTGAATGCTGCAATCTCCGCTTCCATGGCAGCACGCCATGGCAGCACGCCATTCGGCAGCATGAGGGCCTGAGAGAGCCTCTTGGACGGTGAGAGGGATAGGGATGGTCGGGTTCTCCGCGAAGTTGAGGGAGGGTGAGTCAGTGATGTCGGGGAAGATGTGCGAGAGCTGAGGAATGACTGCATGAAGATCACACAGCTCCTCATGCCTGTCTTCCAGAAGGGTAGAGGGCACATCCCCCCCAGCAGGAGGAGGCGGTGTGATCGCCGTGTATCGAAGAACCAGCGCTAGTGGAACGAGTGCCATGAGCCACCGGAGAAGAGGGTGGGGCAGGCGGTGTCGGAGGGGTTGACTTAGGAGGCTTGGGCGGGGGAATGGGCCGCCAGTGGTACGTGATCAGCTCGGGCGACTGTGGGAGAGCGGGTTCCTCTGTGGTGGGGGGAACCGGGGGAGGAGGTGGGGCCGGAGGGTGGGACCGCCGATAGTAGGTGATGAGGAGATTCACTCTACAACGGCAGTGAGCTAGACTACAGGGTTGGCACGAACTACTAGAGGGGATCTCAGCTTGCTTGGTTCCTTAGTGCTTGCACATTCACAGGAGAAATTGGCAAGAGTTTCCACTAGCAAAGTTGGAATTACAGAATTACATCAAAGAAGCAATGACAACAATGACTACATCAGGCACCTAGCAACCCTGCAGCTAGCCTGGTCGACTGCCAGCGCAGCTCGGTCGACCGCCTGCCAGCATTGCGTAGAGGACTGCGCCAGCACTGCAGAAGGGCATCCTGCCAACAAAGCAGGTCGACGGCGTGCCCCGTAGAACACAGCAGTGCGCGCGCTCGCAGGTGTGCGCAGACGATTGGTCCGACTTGCCTCGTTGAGCATCCGTCGGCTGTTGTCTGCGCCTGACGAGCCACATCGACTTCGGGATACCAGCCCGAAGTCGCCTGCGCCATCGCGATCTCGACGGCATTCGCGTGCCTCCGCAGAACTCGTCGAGCAGGTTACCCGGTCCACCTGGTCGACCCCTGGTGCTCTGGTCAACTCCCAGGTGCCTCCCGTCGACCACTGGGTCTCTCTGGTCGACTACCGGATGCTCCTGGTCGACCGCACCACCTGTCAAGCTACCCCTTGGTCGACGGACCCCTTCCGTCGACCAGAACTGCTCTGTCGACCTCCCGGTCGAACTGCAGTTCGACGGGATGCTCCGTCGACCTCCCCGTCGAACTGTGGGTCGACGGACTGCTTCGTCGACCTCCCAAACGGCTCACCCGTCGCCCAGGCCAGTCAGTTGCAGCTGTCGAGCATTCTGGTCGACAGCAACACCACAGCGGTCCGCTGCCGCTCGACGTAACCTGTCGAGCAGCTATCCCACTGTGAACAGTCGGCTGCTACTCCCGTGCATCCGACCAAGTCGTCGGCGTTGCCCAAGCGAGGGCGGGGCCAACACTCCATTCCTGTTAACAGGTGATAGGTGCGCTCGAAGGTGGCTGCACAGTCGGCGGAGTGGGAAGTGAGGGGGATGGAGGAGCAGCTGCCGAAGACACCGGTGAGGGCGGGTCAGAGACCGCAGAGGGGGACGGTGCGGTGGCAGGAGGGGTAGGGGGTGAAGGGGCCGGAGCAGGCGAGAGGTCAGGAGGCGCATCAAAGTCTTCCCACACGAGGGAGGGTGGGTCAGGGAGAGGGACCCGTCCCGAAGTGGAGTAGAATGGGCGGGTCTCATCAAAGACAACGTCGCGGCTCCGGACCAACTGCTGAGTGGAGGGATTGAGGAAGAGGTAGTCAGGCGAGTCGGCATTGTGTCCGAGGTAGATGGATGTCTGGGTCTTGGGACCGAGCTTGCCGCCATGCTGCCGTCGAGCCTGAGGGTTGAGGAGGACATAGGCGGTGCACCTCCAAACGCGAAGAGAGCGAGCAGTGGGCGTTTTCCCGAGCCAGAGTGTGGTTGGAGTGGTGTCGGGAAGATGCGGGTGGGGGTAAAGGTTGTAGAGGAGGGCAGCGTGGTAGAGAGCGTACCTCTAGAGAGAGTGTGGAGCGTTGAAGTGGCTGAGGTGGCACCGAGTGATCTGCACCAAGGTGTGGTTGCGGCTCTCAGCTATGCCGTTCTGCTGCGGGCTGTCAGGGAGGGTGAAGTTTTGTTGGATGCTTTCTGAAGAGCAGAAGGCTTTGAGCTTGTCGTTGCAAAACTCACCACCACCATCTGAGTGGAGGCGCTTGACTTTGCGGTCAAAGGCAGTCTGTGCCTGTTTAACCCACGCCATGAGGACCTCTCGAACCGCAGCCTTAGTGTGGAGGAGGTGAACAGAGACGTAGCGAGAGTGGTCATCGACGATAACAAGGAAGTAGCGATAACCACCTCGTGCGGGAACAGGGGCAGGGCCCCAGACGTCCAGGTGTACCAGGTCCAGTGGTCCTGCTGCAACAGAGGGTGAGGCCGGGTGGGGCTGTTGACGCAGTTTTCTCTTGGTGCAGTCAAGGCACGTGGGAGCGGGGGAGTCTGGTGGTGGAGGAAGTGAGGCTGGCAGGCCGAGTAGAAGTTTCTTGGAGGCCATGTCAGCAAGTGTGCGGAAGTTTGGGTGCTCGAGCCGATGGTGGTAAAGTATGATTGGGTTGGAGAATCTGCGGCACGAGCATGGTGAGGTTGTCGCCGCTGTTTGGGTGGTTGAAACCTGTGGGATGGGTACTCGCAGCGTGTAAAGGCCGTTGCTGTTGAGGGTGAAACGAGTCAAGACCTTGTTGGTGAGTGGGTCGAGGATATCACCATAGTTCTCGTTCTCCCAGAAGATGGTGCGTAGTCCAGCTTCCTGAATTTCCGTTTGGGCCACGAGATTGTGGCGGAGTGAAGACACGCACATTCCAGTGACAATGCCGGAAGGGAAGGCGGGGCACGGGACTGTGGATGAACCCTTGGCATGAGTGGTGAAGCTTGAGTCAGCTCCTAGGAGAGGGATGGGTGTTGCATAGGGTTTGAAGGAGAGTGTCTCCTTGAGTACAGTGTGTGTGGCCCCGCTGTTGAGTGTGAACTCTATGTATTGTGGTGCTTGTGATGAGCCGAGGTATTGGGACGAAGCTTCATTGCTCATGGCAGTGCCAGAGAACAACAGGTTGATACGGGCATCAGCAGGAGCACTATCACTTGCACTAGCCGAAGCGGGGTCTTGGACCTCAACCAGGTTGGCCTTACGCGCACGCATCCAGTTCGGTGGCCTCTTGTCTATGTCGTGGATGGCGTACCATTCGTCGTCTTTCTTCTTGAATCACGTAGCGAGGGGGTGGTTAGTGCCACCACACACTTGTCCTTTGCGGTTGCCATACTTCACGACGTAGGTGCAGCGGTTGCGCTGGAGGGGCGCCGAGACAAGGGCCGATGCGACACTGGCTTGAGGCATGGGAGCACGGATGGCGTAAGCCTTGGCCTGAGCCGTGGAGTCTTTCTCGGCAGAGAGGAGTGCGGTGGAGACCTTGGCAAAAGTGAGGTCTTCCGCAGTCAGCATGAGGAGCATCTTTCTTGTGATTTCATAGGTTGTGGTGAGACCAACGAGAAGAGCTGCTGTAGGGGCCTGTTCGAGGAAGACTATACCCAGCTCCTTGAGTTCGCCATGAATGGTCTGAACCTTGGCAATGTAGTCGGTCATTCCCGAGCAATCCTCAACGCAGACCTGGAACATGCTGGGGATGAGGATGGTAACTCCGACTGCAGTCTTGTTCATGAACCGATCCTAGAGATACTTCCAGATGGCGTTGGAGGTAGGGTAGTTATGAAACGTGTTGACAAGTTCTGGAGGGGTGGAGGCGATGAAGACGCTGATAATTGCAGCATCGGCCTTCTCCCACTTCCGGTACTTCTCAACGGCTTCCTCATATGCCTTTGTGTCAGCCTCACTAGCAGATTCGGTCGGCTCGCAAGGGAGAAGGGGCTGTTTTCCCTTGCCACGGTTGAGGAGGACATCCTTGAGGTCCAATCCCTGCACATCACGGCTCAGCAGGTGCTTGTCAACCACATAGCTCCATGCCTTGAAGTTGGAGCTAGAGCCATCGACGTCAAGACGGAGTGGGGTGATGGGGTTGGCCATGGTGGACGAGGCGAATGCCATGATGGAGACCCCTTAGGGTGTCGCGCGGAGAGCCGCTCTTGAGTCAACGATAGGAACTTGAGATTTGGGGTTTCCGAAGGAGATTTTGAAGAACCGGAGGTTTAGGGTTTACGAAAGAGAATTTCGAGGTTTAGGGTTTGAAGAATTCGACTGAAACACTAATTTAGTGTCAACTACCTACTAATCCTATTCCCACACACCCCCCCACACACCACCCTCAGCTTCACGGCTGCGCTACTGCTCGGCTTCGCGGCTACACGGCTGCTCGGCTTCGCGGCTACACGGCTGCTCGGCTTCGCGGCTACGTTGCTGCTCGGCTGCGCTGCTGCACCTGTTCAGCTGCGGGAAAGGGAGGGGGATGGGGGTAGGAGTGCAGATGCGGAGCGACGGGCGGCAGCCCGAAGGTGAATCTGCAGGGCGACGGGCGGCGGCCCGACGAGAAGCTGCAGGGCGACGGGCGACAGCCCGACGAGGAGAAGGAATGACGCGATGATGTTTGACGAAAACGAGCGATAGGTTAAAACGCCGACGATGCGCTTACCAGTGAGATAGTAGATGCCGTCGAGAGTGACGGGAAAGTGGTGCAGAAGAGTTTCCGCCCACGAATGTCGCGAATCAACGGCGACGGATTGAAGGCGGTTACGCCGAGGTTTGCGGGACGAACATCCGCAGAGATAAGAGGATCACGATCCGCGTGTGCGGTTTGAAAGGCTCTGATACCATCTTAGAACTTAGGCTTAGAAGCGATGCATTAGTAATGAGCTTGAAGCTCTTTAAATACATCCAAGAAGGGGAGGGAATGGATGGAGAAGGGAATCGAGGGCAATCTTAGGGATTAGGTGTAATCCCAAGGCAATCTCCAATTGGTGGGTTGAAGATTGCTTGGAGATTACATTTGGGTTTGGTTGGGATGTAGGTGTACACCCAGCCAAACACAATGTGCAAACTACACTACTCTAAGATATAGAAAATACATTACAAAGTGTGAAATTGAAGGCTAACACTAACAGTCGGGCCATGTGGTGGTGCGTGCCATGGCTGGGGTGATGGGGGTGATGGGGGTGATGCGATGTGATGGGGGTGATGGGGGGTGATGGGGTTGATGGGGGTGATGGGGGTGATGTGATGTGATGGGGGTGATGGGGGTGATGTAATGTGATGGGGGTGAGTGATGTGATGTGATGGGGGTGTTGGGGGTGATGTGATGTGACGGGGGTGATGGGGGTGATGGGGGCGATGGGGGTGATGGGGGTGATGTGATGTGACGGGGGTGATGGGGGGTGATGGGGGTGATGGGGGTGATGTGGGGTGATGGGGGTGATGTGATGTGATGGGGGTGATGTGATGTGATGGGGGTGATGGGGGTGATGTGATGTGACGGGGGTGATGGGGGGTGATGGGGGTGATGGGGGTGATGCGGGGTGATGGGGGTGATGGGGGCGATGGGGGTGATGGGGGTGATGTGATGTGATGGGGTTGATGGGGGTGATGGGAGCAAGACAGCAAAATAGCTCATATATACACATACATGTACAAATGAGCAGGTTGGAATTAGTGGCTGCCCGATCGATTGAAAAGAATGCAGACTTGGAACGCTAAGGGCCCCTGTGGGTGGCCCCCGTGGCCCCCGGTCCAGTGCATTCTCGAAGGTGAATCCAGTGGGGAAGTGAGGGGAGAGCAGCAGGGGGGCGGGGACGGGACGGGGCGCACTTCCTGTTGTCGGGGTTGGTGCGTGGGTCGTAGCCGTTGCGAATCCACTGCATGCGGAAGGGACCGTTGCAGAAGTAGTAGGCAAAGCGCAGCAGCGCCCTGAGGGGGGAGAGGGGAGAGACGGGAGAGGGGAGGGGGGGGGAGGGGAGAGGGGGGGGGAGGGGAGAGGGAGGAGAGGGGAGAGGGGAGAGGGGGGAGGGGGGAGAGGGGGGAGAGGGGAGAGGGGGGAGAGGGGAGAGAGGGGAGAGGGGAGAGAAGGGGGAGAGGGGAGAGGGGAGAGGGGGGAGAGGGGAGAGAGGAGAGAGGGGAGAGGGGAGAGGGGGGAGAGGGGGAGAGGGGGGAAAGGGGAGAGGGGAGAGGGGGGAGAGGGGGAGAGGGGGGAAAGGGGAGAGGGGAGAGGGGGGAGAGGGGAGACGGGAGAGAGAAGGGAGATGGGGGGGAAGAAGGGACGGCGGGAGAGACAGCGTGAAATGGGGAGTTTCTATTGGACGTTCTTGTTCCAGTAAAGTGAAACGGGGAGAAAAGTAAAGTAAAAAGGAACTGCTTGGAGAACGGGAGGCCTACAGACAGAGCCCAGGAGAGCAGAGCCTTGGGAAGGGGGGAAAGGGACAGAACGACAACCGGAAGGTTGGATTGGACACACAAGCAAACCTTTCTTCACTTCACTCCCCCTCGTCCCCCTTCCCCACCCCCCCTTGCCATCGCCCCTCCCCATTCCCCACTTCTCAAACCCCATCTCCACCTCTGTCCACCTTTCTCCACCTCACCCCACCACTCCCCACCCCTGCGCACCTCTTCATGCTGCCATCATTGATGGGCAGCAGCAGGCGGTGCCTCGTCTGCAGAAGGTGTTTGAGAGAGTTGCGCGACCACACAGGCCAGTGCTCTCTCATTCAATTTCCCTCCCACCGCTCTCCACCCCTGCGCACCTCTTCATGCTGCCATCATTAATCGGCAGCAGCAGCCGGTGGCGGGTCTGCAGGAGGTGTTTGAGAGAGTTGCGCGACCACACAGGCCAGTGCTCTCTCATTCACTTTCCCTCCCACCGCTCTCCACCCCTGCGCACCTCTTCATGCTGCCATCATTAATCGGCAGCAGCAGCCGGTGGCGGGTCTGCAGGAGGTGTTTGAGAGAGTTGCGCGACCACACAGGGCGCTCCTGGAACAGCGGCCGCAACATGCGCACATAAGCACCCTCCTCACTGCTCTCCCGCACCGCCTCCCTCTCCCTCGGCCACCCCCGCAGCTCCTGGTGTTTGAAAAGTGGGAGGGGAAAGGGGGAGGAAGGGGAGCGGGGGACGGGAGAGGGACAAGTGGGGGAAAGGGATGGATGGGTGGAGTACGGCACAGGGGCTGGGCGAGAGGAAAGGGAGGACCAGGTGGTGTGGTTGCATTGCAGCAGTGGCAGCAGTTGCAATGGGTGGGAATAGGCATGACAAGTGGGGGGGAGGGGGGAGGGGATGCGGGGGAGAGGAGCGCAAGCAGGGGGCAAGGAGGGGACAAGGAGGGGGCAAGGAGGGGGCAAGGAGGGGGCAAGGAGGGGGCAAGGAGGGGGCAAGGAGGGGGCAAGGAGGGGGCCGGGACGAGGGGAGAAGAGAGGACAGAACGGCAAGCGAGCAGAGGAGATACCTGGGCGAGTGGGTGGGTGGGTGGGTGGTGGGCGGGTGGGTGGGCGGGTGGGTGGGAGGGTAGTACCTGAGTGGTGGCACAGTCAAGCCCAGAGAAGAGAATGAGATTTGCTTGTTGGCCCTCCTTCGCACCAGCAGCGCCACCAGCACCAGCAGTACCACCAGCAGCCCCTGCCCCTTCCCTTCCCCCTCTCTTCTCCCCTGCGCCTGGCTTGCCACCAGCCGCAGGGGCAGCAGCAGCAGCAGCAGCAGGGGCAGAAGCAGCTGCAGAGGCAGCGGCGGGGACCGTTGTGGGGACCGCAGCAGCGGCAAAAGCAGGGGCTATGGAAGGGGCGGAAGCAGCGGCAGCAGCTGGGGCGGGAGCAGGCGGGTAGAGTCCCGGCTTGGCCGCATCCCGGTTTATGTCAAACGCCCGGAGACTGGGTGATGATGCACAAGAGGTGAGAGAGGTGAGTGATGATGAGTAAGAGGTGAGAAGCTGTGATGGTGTAATGTCCGTAGACGGAAAGGGGGGAACGGGACGGCGTGCTGGGGGAGGGTCGGTCGGGGGGTGAGGGAGGGGCAGGGGTACTCGGTCGGTACAATGGCGGGCAACCAGGCAGGCAGGCAGGCAGGTAAGCTAAAGGAGAAGAGGTGGGAAAAGAAGCAGTGGTGGCGTTGATATCAAGGGGGCGATATGAAGGCAAGAAAGAACAGGACAGGAAATGAGAGGAGAGGAGAGAAGAGAGGGAGGAGAGATGGAGAGGACAGGAGAGGAGAGGCGAGGAGAGGAGAGGAGAGGAAGGGGGCCAAGAGGCAGTACAGCTTGTCGGGTGGGTTGTCCTTGCGCGTGAAGAGCAGAGGCGCCAATGGGGAGAAGGGTGACGCTGCTGTAGAGTGGATGCAGAGAGGGACGGGTGCAGAGATGCAGAGAGGGACAGGTGCAGAGATGCAGAGGTCGAATGGCGAAGGGCAGGGAAGGGTACGACAATTTTGGTACAAGGGTGGTGCTGGTATGGGAGTGGTGAATAACATGGCATGCTGGACAACACGAGACGCATGAGGAAAACGCACCAGGTTTTGAGGCACCTCAAAACTAGATTTCTGTACAAGGGTGGTGCTGTGCTGGTATGGGAGTGGTGAAGAGCATGGCATGCTAGACAAGACACATGAGGCAACGCACCTGTGGGAGCGGAAGAGGAGCGGAGGCGGCTTTTGAGTCGACTCCAACGTCATACGGTCATACCAGACCAGACCACACACATGAGGGAACGCACCGATGGGAGCAGGCGAGGAGTGTAGTTTTGAGGTGCCTCAAAAGGCGACTATTGAATCGACTGACAAAGACATACCAGACAAGAACAGACGCATGGGGGAACGCACCGGTGGGAGCAGGCGAGGAGTGGAAGTGGGAGTGGGAGTGGGAGTGGGAGTGGGAGGAGGAGGCGGCATGGTGCCGTGCCGGGGTGTGCGGGGCATGCAGCGATGGCACCCACTGGAAGTCCGCCAGGGCTGGGGGGACGGGGGAATGGGGGGAAAGGGGGGGGTGAATGGGGGGAACGGGAGGGGAAGAGGGGGAAGAGGGAGGGTGAGTGGGAAAGCGCGGGGCGTGCAATGATGGCTCCCACTGAAACGAGTTAACTTTTGAGTCGGCTCAAAAATCAACTCGCGGGGCGTGCAACGATGGTACCCACTGGAAGTCCGCCAGGGCTGGGGGGACGGGGGAATGGGGGGGTGGGAAGGAGGGGAAAGGGGAAATGGGGCGAAAGGGCTGGAAGGTTGAAGTGGAAAAAGAGGAGCAGGGGAGAAGGGGAAAAGGGGGGCAGGGGGATGGGGGAGTGGGTACGGAGAAAAAGAAATATGGACAGAAAGGGTAAAGAAAGAAATGGGGGGTAAGCGAGGGAGGAAATCAGGAGAAGGTGAAATCAGGAGAAGGTGAAATCAGGAGAAGGTGAAATCAGGAGAAGGTGAAATCAGGAGAAGGTGAAATCAGGAGAAGGTGAAATCAGGAGAAGGTGAAATCAGGAAGTGGGGGAGGGAGGACAAGGGAGGAGAAGAAGAGGTGGGTGGAGGGGGGGAGTGAGGACGGGAGGCAGAGGAGAAAAGAGAGAGGAGGGCGGGAGAGACACCCTTATCAATGATAAAAACAAATCCGAGTGAGGAGGTGAAAAGAAGGTGCTTACATTCGAACCGGTACGTCTCTTCAATGCGTGCCACCGCCGATATCTCAATCTCCTGCTCCGCCTCCTCTTCCTCTTCTCCCTTCTCCTCTTTGTCCACTCCCTCCTTCATGCCCTCTCTGCGCATACCCTCCTCCTTCCCTTCACCAGCCTCATCTTCCTTCCCCTCCCCGCTCCTCCTGCTCCCCTGATCCTTCCCCCCATCTCCCACCTCCTCCTCTCTCCCCCGCTTCTTCCCCCTCTTCTCACCCTCCTCCCCGCCTTTCTCCCCCTTTCTCGTCCCCGCCCTGCGCCGCGCAATCCGCAGCAGCACCCCGCAAGTGTCACTGGCATCCCCATAAGCCCCGTGCGCGCTCCCCCCTCCCCCCCCGAACCGCACCTCCAGGAACCTCCGGCCCCGCGACCGCTCCTGGGGGAGAGAGGGAGCGGGGGAGGGGGAAAGCGGTGGGACGGGGGGAGCGGGGGACCAGGGGACCGGGGGGGCGGGGGTAAGGGGTGGGGGGGGGGGGGGGGGAGGTGTTTAAGAGGCGGGACAGAGTGGTGGGAAAGGAAAGTTTACCAGATTCGGGATTAGGGGAGGAAGGACTGAGCAGGAATTGGAGGGGAGAGGGGCGAGAGTCGTGGAGTTAGCATGTTTTGTCTCTCGCTCACTCACTCACTCACTCACTCACTCGCTCGCTCACTCACTCACTCACTCACTCACTCACTCACTCAATCACTCGCTCACTCACTCACTCACTCACCTTTGCGATGGTCTCTTCGCCGCCCATCGTCCGCAAAGCGCGCCGATCGTCGCGCACGAATCCCGGATACTCCACCATAAACACGCCCCGCCCTGCCGGCACCTGACAAACCACCTGCGACACGGCATGCTCTGTTCCGCTCATCCTCCTCCCCGCCTGTCGGCCTGCGACGGCGCGTATGCTAATGTCAGATCGTCTTCTAACGTGAACGCGAAGAGAAGCTTAGCGAGATGACAGAGGACCTCATAGCGCGGTATACCAGCGTTACATGTACAGCTACCGTAATATGTAGGCTTAAAAGTCGCATAGGCGCGAGCGCTGCAATTCACGTAGCTTGAGCAGCGAAAGAACCGCCTTGCGAAGGTGTGCGACTGGACGACGGTGTGGTAAACTTGGCGATCGATTCCCGATAGAAGCTGTCTTTTCTGTATTTATGTTTGACAACCAAACAACGGGTATACGATCAAACCATAAGGGGTTATATTGTCCGTCTTTCCTGCATACTATATCACTACGCGTACTCAGTTCTCACATAAGCACTACACTTTATTAAAGATTCGCAGTGTATTTATCTCTTGATTATATGATAACGTAAAAAGGTGGTGTCAACAAATAAAAGAACGGTTGACAGGGAGATGAAGGGGGTGCATTGTTAAAATACAAGCAGCAGCATTACACTTAGAGCGCTCGCGGGTGCGAAAGGGGCTTGGTAGTAGCCAGGGTCTCAAACAGAGACTTGACGAGGAGGAAAGCATGGTGGGATGATGAATGAGAAAAAGGAAGCATGGCAGGGTCAAGGGGAGGAGGGCAAAAGCAAAGGCAGAGGGAGTTGTTGAAGGGCGTTAATTCAAGCAGTTGTCGTCATACCCTCCCTCCCCTCCCCAAAACCCCCCTAGATTTTCCAAATTGATCCTGCCCTCCCCCACACCACCCTCCTCTTCCCCCCAACCCCACTCCTCCTCCTCCTCTCCACGAATTCTTGCAGTGGAACGTGAATGGTTCGAACTCCAGAAAAAATATCAGCGGTTTCCGAAGCGCCTTGCGTCCCTCTCTACTGGTACGGGTTCTTGCAGTGGGACGTGAACGGGTCTAGATCCGGGAAGATGATCGAAGGGGCAGCAGCCCGTGACCTCCGCTGCTGGGCTCGCTGCTGCAGCTCCATCTGAGCCGCCACCAGCGCCTCTCTCTGCGCCCACATGCCGCTCTTATCCGGACTCACACCCCCGCCATGCTCATGCCCTAGCACACGAGCCACCGGCCGGCTCAAATGCGCAGACTGCGACAACCCCAGCCCCTGCGGAGACTGCTGCAGCATGTGCCTGCCGCCCAGCGGGGAGACTTCCCGGCCGTTGCCGGTGCAGTATGGGTCATCTGGCAAGGGGAAGTGCTGGGGGATAGAGCTGGTGGCTGCAGAGACGGATGCGAGGGTGCTGCGGCGCGACACAGCGCCCATGGATTTGCTTCCTATGCCCATGGAGAGTAGGTTTCCGCTGCCTCCTCCTGACTGAAGCCGCTTCTCTTCCTGTGCTAGGTCGGGGAATAGGCTGCTTCGCCGGTGGTGGTGGTGGTGGTGCTGCTGCTGCTGTTGTTCGAACAGTTGCTGTTGCTCCTGCTGCAGTTGCTGCTGCAGTAGAAGCTGCTGCAGCTGCTGCTGCTGCTGCATCAGTAGCTGTTGCTGCTGCTGCAACTGCTGCTGCTGTTGCAGCTGTTGCTGCTGCTGTTGCTGCTGCTGCTGCAACTGAGCATGATGCGCCTCTTGTACCCACGGGCCTAGATTATACCCATCACCCCCAAAACTATCCCTCCCATAAATACCACCATCGTCCACCACCCCTTTTCTGCGTGACCGCGACAAATCGCCTCCGATAGAATTCCCCACTAGGTCCCCATACAACCCCCTGTCAGACCCCTCATGCCCCAATCGCCCACAGCTGCTCGTACTCTTCCTCCTGCTGCTGCTGCTGCTCTTTCCAGGATTCGCAGCCACAGCCGCAGCCGCCGCAGCAGCCGCCGCCGCAGCAGCCGCAGCCAAAGCCGGGTCGACCGTTGCCTCTGTGCTGTTGCGCCTTCCAGATCTGCTCCTGCTGCCGCTGCCGCTGCGCCCGCTGCTGCTGCTCTCCTTCTCCTCGCTGATCAGCCGCGCCGGCGACAGGAACTGCTCCGCATGCAGCCCAGAGGACCGAGAGGAGGACGGTTCGTGCGCCACTGCCGCTGCTGCTGCCGCTGCCATGGCTGCAGCAGCGAGAGCGTTCGGGTCTGTAGCTATAGTCCCAGTCTGCATGCTGCTGCGTCGGGACAGAGACGAGCGGCGTCTGCTGCTGCCGCTGCTGTTGCTGCTGTGGCTGCGAGTCACGGCGGATAGCGCGTCGTCGTCGCCAGTCACTGATAGCCGGTGCCGGTGCTGCTGCGGCTGCTGGTGCTGCTCTTTCTGGTGGTGATGCCGAGAGCCGTGAGGGGAGGGCGAGCGAGAAGAGGAGGATAGGTGGTCGTGATGGTGGTGGTGGTGGTGGTGCCGGTGGTGGTGGCGGCGTGAGGGGGAAGCGGAGGGTGAATCCGCTGCTGTTCCAGAGGAGGAGACTGATGCAGCTGAGGGAAGATTAAACGAGCGCCGTTGGGGCTGTGAGCGGGAGCGGGACATGGGACCTGGTTCCGACTCGCTATCCCCGCTCTCTGTCTCAACCGTCTCTGCTGCAACCGCCAGCCCGTCCCTCGATTTCGATCGCAACATATGACTCGGCTTGCTGCTGCTGCTGCTGCTGCTGCTATGCTCTTTCTCCAACGCCACGGCTGCTGCTGCTCTCTCCCTCTCCTCTGTTCTCATCAACTCTCGCACGTCCACCACCCCAGGAGGGAGCGCAGGCGACGACACCCTACTGCCACCTGTCGCGTCCCCATTGGCTCTGGAAGAAGTCAGGGAGTTCTTACTGGACGATCGTTTCACGGGAGCTGCCAAAGCAGGTGACGCGTCAGGAGAAGCGGCAGCGGGGCCGGCTGACGTGGCAGTGGATAGCAACTCGGCGAGATCTGTGGCGCGCCCGCCCCCAGTCCTCCCCGTGCTGCTCATGCTGCTGCTTCTCCCACTCGCCACGCTCCCTCCTCCCCCTCCACCTCCTCCTCCGCCTGCTGCCTGCCCTGAGCTCGCTCTGCTGCCAGTGCTGCTGCTACTAGCAAACTGCTCCGCAGCAGCCTTGCTTCTCGCCATAGCCTCGTCTTTTTCGGCTGCTGCTGCCGCCGCCGCTTCTGCCTTAGCCACTGCAGCGGCTCTGGCAGCAGCGGCAGCCTTGGCAGCAGCAATAGCGTTGGCAACTGAAGAGCCAGAAGAAGCAGAGGAGGAGGAGAGAGCAGCAGCAGGTTGCCTTGACGCCTCTCGTTCTGCCTCTTCCTCTTCCTCGTCTTCTTCTTCAAACTCCTCCTCCTCCTCCTCTCGCTCATCTCTCCGTCCCGATCGGTTCCCTTCTTCCCTCTCGTCACTCAAACTGCCTTCGGACCCTTCCTCTCCCCGATCCCTTCCCCTCCCCTCTCCCCTATACCCTCCCCGCTCCTCCTCCCTCTCATCCTCCCCCTCCTCGTCCCCTTCTTCCTCCTCTTCGTCCTCCTCTCCGCGCCCTGCCAGCCGTCCGTTCGCCATTGCTGCTGCGCCGACCTTACCCCTCCCTGCCGTCTCAGGTTTACGTTCCGCCCCCGCCCCAGCTTTCCCCTCATCCTCTCCCTCCTCCTCCTCCTCTCCCTCCTCCCCCCCACTCTCTTCTCCACTCTCCTCTTTCTTTGCATCCGCCACTACTCTCCCACCCGCCGTTCTGCCGTTCTGCTGTCCCGCCTTCCCCACACCTCCTCTCACACCCTTCCCCTCCTCCTCATCCTCCTCCTCCCCTTCCTCCTCCTCCTCTTTCGCCCCCTTTCTCCCCTCTTTCCCCTTCTCCTCTTCCTCCTCCTCTTCTTCCTCCTCCTCCTCCTCCTCTTCTTCTTCACTACTTGATTCCACAACCGGTTTGGGAGGGGGTCTGACAGGGGCGGCAGGGGCAGCGATATTACTAAGGTCCACAAACTGCCCCATCGTATCCTTTAGCTTTTGGAAATTCACCGGTTTTGACATAAAAGCATCCATCCCCGCCGCTTTGCACCGATCCTGATCCGCCTGTAGCGCATTCGCGCTCACAGCCACCACCGGCGTGCGCGGGCGGAAATCCCCCTCTCCCCCCCCTTCCCCCGCATCCCCGCCAGTCCACTCCGCCAGCCCCGCTTTCTCGTCCCCCGCAGGGGCCCCGGACGCTTTCGCCTTGGCGATTTCTTCCGCGGGGAATTTCCCCGTGCGCTCGTACTGCCGAATCAGCTGCGTGGCTGTGAGCCCGTCCATGAGCGGCATGCATATATCGGAGAGGATAATATCGAATTTCACCTTCTGCACCGCCTCCACGGCCTCGACGCCGTTCTTGGCGACCGTGGCTTTAAGTCCCATGCGCTTGAGCATGGACATGAGCACCATCACATTCACCTGGAAGGGGACGGAGACAGGGGGGACGGGAGGGGAAGATAGAGAGGCAAGTGAGGGGGAGGGGTACGGGAGGCCTGGAGGTAAGTCCCATGCGCTTGAGCATGGACATGAGCACCATCACGATCACCTGGAGGAGTAGGGAAGGGAGGGGGGAGGGGGAGGGGGGAGGGGGGAGGGGAAGATAGAGGCAAGCGAGGGAGGGGTACAGGAGCACCAACACGTTCACCTGGAGGGGGAAAGGGGAGAGCGCAGTCGCGGGAGACTGCACGGAAACATCCGAAATCTCAGTTTTAAGAATTCTCAAAAGGGATACAAGAGGAGAGCTTCACGCGCTTGAGCGTGCATGCACAGCGGCAGCACCAGACTCTCCTGGAGCAGCGGAGCAGCATCCGGAGATGCTCAGTCCGGGTAACGGGATCCGTGGAATATACGAGGGAATGAATGGGCAGAGAAACCGCAGATTTGAGGCGCCTTAAAAATCGCATTTACACGGGAGGAAAGAGGGAGGAAACCGTTGTTTCACAAAAGGGGAAAGAGCGTAACAAGAGCTGGTGAGGGGGCGAGATGCGCGGGGAGACGGGGATGAGATACGTGGGGCGAGCGCGCGCAAACGTTGAGCAACCAGCGCCCGGGAGGGGTAACGGGGGAGACGGAGCAGGGGAGGAAGCGGGTAGCTGTGAACCGCGCGGGCGAAGTATAAGAATGAGCGGGTGACACGAGGCGACGAAACCAGAGCCTGGCGGAACGTGCATAGACGAGAGCGAGATAGTAAGGGAGCGCGGGAGAGAAAGAGAGTGTGAGAGAGAAAGAGAGAGCGAGAGAGAAAGTGAGCGCGAGAGAGAAAAAGAGCGCGAGAGAGCGAGCGCGTGCCGAAAAAGATGCGTCCCAGTGGGAGAGGACAGACGCAGCGATTGGACCAGGGGAGTGCGGCGTTGCGTCTCGAGCAATTGAGCTCGCATCGTCCCGGGTGAACAGAAGACGGGGAGTAGGCGGATGAAACGGCGGGGGGGAGGAAAAGGGGGACGAAAGGGAGATGCGAATAAGGGTGGAATAGGGATGAAACGGGGATGGAACGGGAGGGAGAAACTTGGTTGTCGCGCTTACTGTGTTGTCTTCGGCGACCAGAATCTTGAGGTCTGTAGGCGCCGCCATGATGGCAGGTGATTGCAACGAGGGACGAGGTGGCAGTGACGATGAGGTGACTATATCGCAGCGGAGAGTGTAGACGGCGGTTGGAGGGGATTGAGGCGAAATCAGGCTGCGTTACGGCGAAGGCCTCGAGACGGAACTAAATAAGGGAATGGATAGGGAGGGTATGGCGACGATAAACACGATGAATGATTTCGATGCTTCGACTGTTATTGAGCTAGTTTTTAGAACAATGATGGCAATGACAATAAAGAGTATGTTGTTGCTGCATGCACTTTGGTTTGGGAGGCGCTTGGATTTGGAAAATGCACGCAAGCTTAGCGAATCTTAGAGGAGGAGACTGAGTGATTCGTGTAGGGATTAAGGACACCGTGAGCGAAGCTACTTCGTGCTTGCGCTTCGAGATGGATTCTGCGCGGAGTAGCGGAGCGCGGCGTCGACGTGGCTAAGATAAGACATGGCAGAGCTGCATTCGCAAGGAGGGTCACCTCGCAGTGCGAAACGCTTAGCCTGGAATGAGCAGGCAGGCGGACAAGCATCGCATTGTGTCTGTTGAGGCTTATGGCGGTTTGAGCAGAGTTGAGAGTTTGACGGTACAGTAAGGAGGATGCTGAGAAAGATAACGAAGGTTGGAATACGGAATGAGATGCCGAAATGAGATGGACGGAATGGGAGATGGGATGGATGGGATGGAACAAGAGGGGAGAAGTGAAGAGAAGTGAATCCTGCCAAGATGCTAAGATGGGTCACATTCAGCCTCAGTTCGGAAATCGAAATTTGCGAGTTGCAGAGAACATGAGTGTAGCGGGCCGAAGTAAGACTCAAACTCGCACACACAAACAAAAATAGTCCCTTTTACAGTGTATTTCAGTCCTCTACACATGAATCTTTGCGTTTATACATTGTATAGCGGGAAATAAAAGCGACCAAAGTCCCTTTTGTGATCCCGCATGAGCCACACAGCCTCAAGCCACAGTGCCCCGCCCGGTAATAATGCAAATGTCGATTGCTGAGATGAATTGCTGCTGAGCTGGGAAATCACCAGCTCGTTCAATCACGCTTGCATCACCGCGCCACGCCACCATCGGATGTGTGGCCCGAATGATGGGATGATGCTGCTGAAATGTCCATTTCTGCGGTGCCCCCCGGCCCATGCCATCAATGCCTGCAGGCGCCTACCGTTATCCATTCCCACCTTGTTCCCCCTATCCTTCCCCCCTCACCTACCCCCTAGCCTGGACAATTTGGACTTCTGCGCGGGTTTCCTGATCGTCGTCAAGTGGACGCGCTCTCGTCACGCGGAAAGCGGAAAGCGAACACCCAAGAACGAATGTTTTCTGGTTGAGATCGCGAGTCGCGACAAGGGAAAGAGGGAATGTCTCCTCCCGTTCTAACTGCTCCGGACAAACTGTGTGAGGCCAGCAGGTGAGATCGAGGCGTTTGGCGGAAGCTGGTGGTTGGTGCAGGTAAACCAATCATGCCATGCCACCTCATTCTAAAGCAAGTTGGCGGTTCTGGCTTGTACTTGCGACTTTGCGAATCCCTAGTACAGTGGCGGTGTAGTGTATTGTAACAGCATGACATCAGAAACCACCAATACAGCACATGTAGACGCTTCACATCACAATCCACTAGTGTGAGTCCTGACGCAACTCAGGATTCTTTAGTCAGAACAATGCATGCACTCCCCAGACTAAAGAGCTAATACGCTAAAAGTAGAAGACCCAAAGAGATGCCAAGTGTGTCTCAATGGTCAGTGTGGGCCTGAGCCTGAGTAACCCTCAATGATACTGCGCGAGAAGCTCATGCTAGAAAGGCATAGTGCCAGCGTAGCGGAAACGTGTTTGTAGAAAGAACAAGATACAAATCTTACACTGATCATTGAAAAGTAGAAGATTGAATGAGTAGCTCAATGATGGCTCAACGATGGCTCAATGAATGTTGAAGAAGTGACACAGTAGGGTATATATGCATCCAGCTACCCCTCCAGAATGACCCATTCACACCAATAATGGTGTACCAATAATTGTACCCTCTACCCCCCAATAATGCTAGACTCCAATAATTGTGGCCCTACAATAATTGTGACCATTATTGTAGGACCTGGAGGCTTATAACGAGTACTACACTAAAACCAAACAGCACACTGGTATACATTATTCGTTATACTGTATTCGGATTTCCAACACTCCCCCTTGCTGTAGGTTTTGGTGAAACCGTTTTGGAGGATGGGGTGGTCGAGGTGGTATACCACCACAAGGTAGGGGTGCGCCCAAACCAAGTTAGGGTTTGGTGTTGGCCAAGCTGCTTGTCACTGTAGCACCTTTCCCCTCCCAACCTTTGGTCCTTCCAAACTCCAACCAAACCACATGCCGTCACGTTTTCCATTCCCTCCTTCCAATCTCGACATTCAAGATCGAGATCTAGAGAGTAGTGGCTGCTGCTGACGAAACCGTAGCAGCTCCACGGTGAAATCTCCTCAAAACCATGGCGTAGTCCGCGTATCGTCATGGCGGAATGCCCTTAGCGCACGCCGATTTCCGAAACCGTAGACTTTATGATACGCGATTGGCACTGCTACTGACTTCATCGCACACTTGGTGTCCGTCGACGTGAAACCGCCGCGGATCCGCGCCTGCAACGACTGTGGAGGACGCGAATTGGTAGTGGATAACGCGTGGCGTGTGGCTGGCACGGAACTACGTTGGCGGGCGCACACTTCGCGCGATAGAAGCGACACCTTGCGTTCGTCAGCGGCTGACGATCTGCTGCGCGCCTACTGCATCATCGTAAGCCTTTCTCCCCATGCTTTGGCAATCTTGCCAAGTTTGCTCAAACTTCACCCATGTTGCCCTGTGATGCTCCCCATACACTCCAGCAGACACACGGTAGCAGCCAGAGTTGCCGAACTCCATCAGCTGGAGAGCTGCGCATGCCGACGAACTCCAAGTATCCCTGAAATCTGCACTCCATATGTGCAGAAATGTCCACTCCATGTGTGCAGTGCACACCAAGTATGCCGAGATGTGCATACCAGGTATGGAGAACCGTCCACACCAGGTATGCAGTAATGCGTGTTCCAATGTATGTTCTCCATCATTCCCTCAGGTGGTGCCGTTGATCAGCAGCAACCAGTCGCACGATACCGCTGCAACACGACGTATGACGACCGGCTGCATCCTTTCTGCCTACTCCCCCTGCTTATTGGCAACCTTGGTGAGTAGGTCTTCCACTTATGCTCCTTGACTCCATATCCCACTCCTGGGCCACCAGATACACTCCACACCCCACCTCCCCCTCACCCATGTGCTTGTAGTCATCCGCGAACACAGCCACAAGCACACGAGTGAGTGTGGAGTTAGGTGATGCCATGGTGTGCAGGCCCGGTCGAGGTGGCTGCACAGGTGAGTACAACACCATAATCCTTGACTTGATTGCCTTGACCAGCCAGCAGAGTGCAGGTAAGATGCTTCTTGCTTGACTCGTTCACCGCATCTCCAACGTCGACATTTTCCACGTCTTCCGAAATGGAGACACCTACTGCAGGTAAGTCATCTGCATCTCCGCTTCCTTGGGTTGCAGCAACTTCATCAGCTCCAGGTAAGTCCTGTTTTACAGGGTCAGCTCCATCGACTCCCAAATCCATCGCGAACCGTTTTTCTTCTCCCCCTGAAGTCCACACCGCAACGTGGGGTGAGACTTCATGTGTGGTATCATCATGTGCCCGCTTCCGCACGATGCAGGCTTTGTGTGCCATGCGGTACTGAACGGATGCATGTGCAGAGCGGACACTCAACTGCACTCCAGGTGTGCAGGAACGTGTACCCTCTTCACAATCATGCTTCTTTGATGACGCGCCATCATGGGAATGTCCAGTATCATGGGCGGATGTAAGTGCATGCTCATACTGCACCACGAGCACTCCATCCACGTTCTTGCCAACTCCAATCCGCACGTACTCCTCTCCATCTTTCATGGTGACCTCTACGTCTCCATAAGCAATCGTATTGATGTGTGCTCCCTTTTTCAGCAGCTGACAATAGGAGAGCAGGTTGCTCTTCAGGCCAGGTACGTAGAGGACGTCAGTGTACCGGACTGTTGTCCCATCAGGTGCCGTTGCTCTGATCGTTCCCGTCATAGTGCTGCTCAGCTCGCTCCCATTAGCGAGCTCCACACAAACAGGTTCATCCAGCTCCCTTAACTCTTCAAACCAGCGCTTGTCCGGGGTCATGTGCTGGCTGCATCCACTATCCAGCATCCAAGATGACGCTTTAGCTGGTGGTAAGGTAGCTTGTGACGATCCCACCGTTGCAATGCACGTAACAGTACGTTGCTTGTCTTCCCCGGCTGTCCCTTGCTGTGTTGATGCTTCGTCGTCACGCTTGGGGCTGCGACTCCTTCGTGGGGAGGACGAACGACTATCGCTGGTGTGCAGTTTTGCCTTTCTGGTATGCGGTTCCCACCCTGGTGGTGACCAGCCAGGGGGTGCCTTAGTACACTTGAAGAAGGGGTGGCCGACCTCCTTGCAGTACCAACACAGAAGAGGTGAGCGATCCGCACTTCCTTCCTTGCCATGCGTTTTCTCCCCACTGGACCCCTCCTTCCCGGTTTTGCCCTTAGCAGTTGGAGAAGGTGAGTGGTCTCCACGTGCTTGTCCAACCATACGAGGTGGACGCCGGTCACGGTTATTCTTCGTGATGAGGTCGTGGTATCTCTGCTCCTGAATCATCATCCGCTGCAAGGTGAAGCTGTCCGTCACGTTGTGTAGCATTGCCGAGTGCCTCATCTCCTCCCAATGCGCCGGTAGTCCGGTGAGCAGATTTAAGGTAAATGTGTCCTCATCCACCATCTTCCCCGCGAGTGCTAACTTGTCCCGGATTGCCGTTGCGCGGTTCACGTACTCCTCCACCCTTTCCGCATTCCCCATTTTCAGGTTGTCCAGCTCCTTCATGAGAGATACCTTCGCCACCGAATCTTTGGCCTGGTAAGTATCCATTAAGTACTCCCATGCTTCATAAGCCGGGCTGTAGGATTCCTGGAACATGTCTAGCTGTAGTTGAATCGTGGCGCTCACGCTGTGCAATAGGACCCAAAAGGCGAGTGCCGCACGCTGGGAGTAATCCGCCTGTAGCATTTCCAGCCGCCCCATAGCGTCGTCAATGTCACCATCTCCCATGGTAACCGGATACTGCAGGGTCACAAAGAACTCCCACAGATTCGTGACGCGGGCGTTCATACGAAACCGTAGTGCCCATTCGCGGAAATTTGAGCCGTCAAACGGAGTGGTGGTGAATGCCTTGTCCACCGTTGCTCCCACCATTTTGCGTGACAGTCGTTCCTTGTCTTCGTCCGTATATTCACGTGGTGCGGGGTCGAAGAGAGTAGGCATGGTTGACGGTCGAGGTAGCTGTACTGTGCGCTGCATGTTTCCATTCTGTCCACCAAGTTGACGTTCCATCACTTCCACTTGATCGCGTCGCATGACACCGCTTGACTGCATTCCGTATCCCATCCGCCCCATGCTGTCCACATTGTGTGCGCCGATCGGTGGACGTGGTGCACGCGGAGGTACGGCATAGCCGCCATGAAGGTGAGACCTGGCCATGGGAGGAACTCCAATGGGATGGGAATTAGTCGCAAGTCGTCGTAGTGGGGGAGCACCAATAGTGTAGGAGGCAAAACCCACACCTTCCACGCCCACGTCACCATTTCCGTCACCCTGTTGCCCAATCTGTCCAATTCTCATTCCACCAATCACTGCACTCCCATACTCATCATTCCTCCCCCGTGCTTCCCTTTGCATGGATGATTGAGGTGCGGGATTGGCCTTCTCCTCTCCTTGGACGGATGCATCCCTCCCTTGGGATGACTGTCCTCCTTGAGGTATGCCCATTTCCCCTTCACCATCAATTCCTGCATGAACATTTGCACGAGTTTGGTTAGTACGCGGAGTGCTTGAATGAGAGTGTCCACGGGTGGACGGATTGCTAGACTCGTGAGAGAACGCTGTCCTTGGCTGGATTGTCATTCCAAACTTGTCCCTTAACGAAGCTTGGAGTGCTGGTGGTGCCTTTGCAATCATGCTTTCCAGGTGCTCATGCTGAGTCATGATGGCTTCTTCAAAAGCCGCATATCCAGGATCCACTTCGCCATCGAAGTGCGCCATGACCTTGACAAAACCGTCCACCAAGTGTGCGGTAGACGCGCGGTTGCAACCAGCAGCGAACACCAGGTGTACGAACGCGTAGACCGGGTGTGCGGTACTCTGACTATATGCAGGTACCTATCCAAAGTGAATGCCAGTAATCCCGAACCAGTTTTGGCAGCATGCCCCCTAGAGTAGCTCTGATACCATGCTAGAAAGGCATAGTGCCAGCGTAGCGGAAACGTGTTTGTAGAAAGAACAAGATACAAATCTTACACTGATCATTGAAAAGTAGAAGATTGAATGAGTAGCTCAATGATGGCTCAATGATGGCTCAATGAATGTTGAAGAAGTGACACAGTAGGGTATATATGCATCCAACTACCCCTCCAGAATGACCCATTCACACCAATAATGGTGTACCAATAATTGTACCCTCTACCCCCCAATAATGCTAGACTCCAATAATTGTGGCCCTACAATAATTGTGACCATTATTGTAGGACCTGGAGGCTTATAACGAGTACTACACTAAAACCAAACAGCACACTGGTATACATTATTCGTTATACTGTATTCGGATTTCCAACAGCTCACAGCCCTCCCCATGCACACACACATCCCACAATATGTAACAATCCACCATGCTATTTGCACCTCTTTACATGCATCTCTCCTGTTTCATCCCCTGCTTATTAGTAGCACCCCAAGCAAACCAAGGCCATGCCTGCAGGCCCATGCATCTCATTTAACAAATCACCAGTTACCCAGTAGCTTGGACCAGTCTGGTTACCACTCACTCATTTAAAGTACAGACTGATGCCAACCAACTTCCAGTAAGCACCAGCGAGAGAGGAAAGATGCAAGCTTCACTTGTACGGTACAAGGTGCCATGTGCCAGATCAGCAGTCACCACCAGAGAGCTACGGTACCGGGGGTTGCAATGCAATGCGAGTCACCAGTCGAGGCCTAGTCCTTGCGAGAGGAAAAGATGGTCCACTGCTTGTATGATGGGTGACAATGCAGCCACAAAATGCTCGGCGTTTCCCTGCCATGCCTCATCTGAGTGAGCGGATGGGGTCAGGATGGATAGGAGGAAGATGGGAGGGGGAGGGGGAAATAGAGGAAGAGGGGGAGGGAGACGAATGGAGAGAAGAATGGATCAAATCAAAGTGAGGTGCTACTAACGGCGCCGTCAGATCAGACCCTCCTTCTGCTAGTCTCCTATCTCCTCAATCCTCTCTCGCCCTGAGTCTCCCCCATGAGTCTCTTCCTCAAACCCACTCACTCACCCACCCTCCACCACTCCCCCTTTTTCACCAGAGTCCCCTGGGAGAAGCAGGAAGGCGGGCGTGGAAGGGAGAGTAAAGAGGCCCACTGCCACCCAACACTTTCGTTGGCCTCAAATATAAACCACCACAAGCACTGCCCAAGATCTAACCCCGTCCTCACCTCATCCCTGACCCCCCCAATCCTCTCCCGCCCTGATTCCTCCCCTGAAGCACCTTCCCCAACCCCCCCCCCACCCTCCCCCCCGCCCCCCCCTGCTCCACCACTCCCCCTTTCTCACCAGACTCCCCCAGGAGGAGCAGGAAGGCGGGCGTGGAGGGGAGCGTAAAGAGGCCCGCTGCTACGAGGCTGCGCACGGGCCATGGATGCACGGCGCCAAACACCTCGTTATACGCTCGCCCTGCGTACACTCTTAGCGGCTGAGAGCTGCCCACAGAGTGATGGAGACGGATGGGATGGGTGTGAGGGAGGATGGGATAGAGCGGGTGAGAGAGGGTGATAGGGAGAGGGGAGTGAGTGAGAGAGGGCGAGTTAGAAGGCGAGTGAGGGAGAGTGAGGGAGAGGTGAGTAGGAGGGAGAGTGAGTGAGAGTGAGGGAGTGACGCAAATTGATCGGAGGAAGCGAATGTGAGTGTTAAACCAGTGGATGGGAAGGAGGGTGGACACGAGTCGCCCATTGTTCAAGTGGGAGAATAGTGGGTGGGTATTTTGAAGAGTGCAACCATGGACAAGAGCCAAGCTGAGGTCGCAACCTCACATGTTCTTCTCCTTCTCCCTTCCTCCTCCTCCCATCCACCCGAATTCCCAATTCCCACTTCTGTTCCCGCCATTTCTTCCCCCCACCTTCCCGTCCCCTTCTCTTTCACGCCCGTCCTCCCTCCCCCGGTGCGCGCACCAGTCCTGCAGCAGGAGCGCAAATATGCGCCGGTTGAGGTCCAGTCCGCGCACCACGCGCAGCAGGTTGCGCGTGTGGCTCCCCTTCACGCGCGCCACGCCCCTCCGCCGATCCTCCGCCATCATCTCCTTCAGCGTGTCGAATTGCCGCCCCGCCACGTGCAAGTCCGCCACCTGGGCGGAGAAACGGGAGGAGCGGAACGGGGATCGGGGGAACGTTAGACGGAAAACAGTGTGAAGTTGGAAAGGAAGGGGGGAAGGAGACAAGGGTGGAGGAATGGGGAGGGGGGAAGGGAGGGGAAGGGGGGGGGCGGGGGGAGGGGTGGGGAACGTGGATAAGAGGGAGGAAGAGGGAAGGTAAGCGGAAAGCGGACCGGGAAGCGGGGACAACGCGATCACGGGGCAGAGGCGTCAAGACGACGAACCTTCTCAGAGAACTCCTTTCCTGCGAACGCAAACGCGGGCCCGAGAACCGAGAACAGCCGCCCAATGCCGTCGCAAGCCTCCGCAAACTCCCCGACGCGCAGGCTCCTAGAAACCTCCTCACAAGCCGCGGAATCCTCACCACCATTGCTGACAGCAGAGGGGCTAGTATCGCTACTGCTACCGCTACCGCTACCGCTGCCGCTGCCACTGTCTGCGCTTCTACACTCGCTCGCTAAGTTCCCGCAGCTTCCTCCGACACTCCAGGCGCGAGGATCCGCGGAAACAGCCGCGCGGAGTGTTCTCTCGCTGGCGCTCGACCACTCCGCGCGAGCCTTCTGTGCGCGCTCCGCCGAGGGGGGTGCTTTAGCGCCGTTCTCCGCTCCGCTTTCCGCCACTCCGCGGGATCGAGCTTCTGCTGCCGACGGCACTGTGAGGGCCTCAAAACGACTCGCGAGTGCCTCTAAAGGTCGCGTCTGATGCTGTTGATGCTTCTGTTGGTGGTATTGCTGTTGCATGTACTGGTGGTTGCTATTGCTAACCGCTGTCACCGTGGCAGCAGCTGCAGCCGCTGCTGCTGCTTCGACGGATGCAGTTGCCGCCGTTAACGACGGTCCGTCCACCGCAATTCGCGGCTGCCGACTTTCGTGAACCAGCGCTGCAGCCATTCGATTGACTTGTGTCGGATTAGTCAAGGGATTTCAGCCGTGCCTTACTACGATGCGTCAGGAGAAACAAAATAGCGGGCTGGGAGTAATGCTCGCGTCGCCGTCACCTTAAGATAAGGGAGATCTGGCAGAAGCACGACGGCGATATATTTCTTCTGAACGGGAACCGTGCAAATGGCTGATATTATGGCGCTTGATCCTGTAACACGCCGTTTTGGCCGCGGCGAATACCTTACGCCCGCCTGAATGGCAATAATGGCGGAACGATGCTGTGTGAGCGGGGTGGTGGCGGTGGAGGGATGTGAAAATGAAAATGAGGATGTTTTCCTTGCTAGGGGTCACTGTTGCTTGTTCCGGAGGTGCTTGGAGGGGGAAGGGAGTATTGGCTAGAAATGGACATGGGACTCCACGAACCTTGGGAATGGTTTCGAAAAGAAATACTGTACAGCCGTACAGCACTGTAGGTCCCAAATCCCAAGCACAGAGAAGCTGAACTGTACTGTAGACAACAGAGTGGAATGAGGAGGAGGCTGTGTCGTATCGTGTCGTCTTGTGAGTTTGCGTATGGCGACGAGGCGAGGAATGAGGGAGTCGAGCGATTGGGCACTGTGCGGCTTGAGATCGGGTGAGGTGGGATGCGATAGGTTTGGAAGAGGCTGAATGGTATGGGATGGGACATCGGGATGGGATTCAATGGAAGGTGGTGTGCGATGAGGCATGTCAGATATTTTCCGTCTTGAATGTGATTTTCATCCCTGACCCGAATTCTGCTGAAACGGATGGGTAACTGACGCGATGAGAAGGTTTCGGATGCGATGAGATGCGATGGGATGGGAAATAGGATGAAAGTTCACGTAGGCTGACTGACAACAAATTTCTCTGGTATCACAAAACCTCTTCAGCAATGAAATGTTGGGCAGAATGGCGGCTGGGCTGAGCACGGGACAGTTGCCCAGGTGCACTCTGCGAACCAAGAATGAAGGGGCACCCTGCCCGTGAAGCACATGAAACGCCACCATTGGCGAAGAAGGGTTGCGGGCAGCGTGACGAGCAGACGAATGCCAGGCTTGGACTTCGCCACATCACTTCTCGATTGTAGCAGCCTCGATAGCAGCACATAGTGTGATCGTAAGGAAGCAGCATGTACACGACCATGTGAGCTTTGTCTAGACGAATCTTAAAACCCGAGGACAGCATGGAAATATATCAAGTTATGTGGGTTTGAAATAGTGTTGGCGAAACCTTGAGAACAAGAATTTCGGCAAATTCAGTGTAGCGAGAAGGAGATGGGTTGACGAGGGGGAAAGGGTTCTCGCCAAACGTGAAGTGATGGTGAACGATATTGTGCACGGCGACTGGAAAGAGTGTCGCACAGGCTGGTCTTCAGCCAATCAGGTTCAAAGTGTGGAGAATACCCACGCACAATGCAACTACTAGCAAAATCGAAATTGGGAAGCAAAAACCACCTCAGAACTGTCAAATGATGTGTATGCTACGTATGCTTAGGCTGTAGTGGGGAAGCCAATATAGGGTACAGCCCACATTAGGGTTTCATATTTGTACCTCATTCTCTCATAGTTCCATCATTCCTGCTGCTAGATTCTGATATGGTTTCAGAGCACTAGATCCGTAGGACCGTTTTTTTTTTTTTTTTTTTTTTTTTTTTTTTTTTTTTTTTTTTTTTTTTTTTGGGCCCACTACCATTGCGGTTACCACGTTACCCTATGTATTGTCATGCGTCTTCTCTGCCTACCGTTCTGTGAAGAAATGAGGAATCAAGAAGAGAGGGATTGCACTAGCAGCAGTTGGCATACATATAGGAAACCCTAATTGGGTTGTACTCGCTATAGAGTACCCCACTGTAGGCTAGACAATTATAACATTCTGACACACCCCAATAGCCAAAGTAGGGTGTAATCCGCACAATGAGCAAGCAGACATAGAGCAGGAGTTCACAATAGGGAGCAAAGCTAGAGTTAATCACAGCGGGCAAGTGAGGAGGAGGAACTGTGGAGGGAGAGAAGATGGGAGGCAACGACTGAAGCTGCAGAGGCACGGGCACAGGAGCGGCTGACTCAGTGGCTACCGAAGCAAGGGCGACGGACTACTAGAGTAACTGGCTCCGCGGCTATAGACGAGCGGCAGGAGCAACGGACCCACTGGCGACTGGTGCAACAGGCTCACTGGCTACCGAAGCAAGGGCGACGGACTACAGGCGATGCAGGCGACACGACAGCTACCTTCACACAACCTCCTCCAGCTGCTCCACACCTCTCGACACACACCCCCTGCTTAAACCCTAGTTCTACTCCCACAGCACCCCCCTGTCACACACCCCCTGCTGCACCCTAGGTTCACTCACACCCCACCCCCTAGCACCACTCCGTCGACTCCCACACACCCACCCCCCTCAGCGGCAGCTGCAGCAGTGGGAGACAGAGAAGGAGGAGGAGCAGGGGAGACCACACACCCGCCACCCCCTACTCGCCATCCCCAAACCCTAACAGAGGGCAGGGCGGGATGGCGGGTAGGGAGGTTACGGGGGGGGGGGGGAGGAGGGGGGGGGGGGGGGGGGCCGACGCGCGGCCTCCCAGGGCGCCAAAGCAGGCGGCAGAAGGGGCGACGCTCCCCCCCCCCCCCCCCCCCAAGATCGCACGAGGCCCCCTCAGGTCGACTCGACAGGCGACGGGAAAAGGGGGGGGGGGGGGGGGCGGTGCACGTGCCCCCGGTGCGTCGCGGCTGGCGACGAAGCATGGCCGGGGCGGGGCCGTGGCCGCAAGTGGCGGCGACGGGGCCGCTGAAGGTGGCGACGTGGCCGATAGGGGCGGCGACTGGGCCGCAAGTGGCGGCGACGGGGCCGATAGGGGCGGCGATGGGGCCGCTAGGGTCGGCGACGGGGCCGCTGACGGCGACGGGGCCGCTAGGGACGGCGACGAGGCCACTTGCGGCGTCGACGGGGCCGATAGGGGCAGCGTCGGGGCCGCGAAGGGGCCGCGAGGGGCCTGGAAGGACGGCGACGGGACGCGAAAGGGGCGGCGACGGGGCCGCGAAGGGGCCGAGAGGGGCCTGGAAGGGCGGCAACGGGGCCGCAAAGGGGCCGCAAGGGGCCTAGAAGGGCGGCAACGGGGCCGCTAAGAGTAGCGCGAGGGGCACGCCACGGGGCGTGCCGAACACAGAGTAGCAGCGGAAGCAGTTAGGTGGGCCCACAGGCCAGGAGCGTGGATGCTCTGATAGCATGTGAACAATGAGGAATGAAGAAGAGAGGGATTGCACTAGCAGCAGTTGGCATACATATAGGAAACCCTAATTGGGTTGTACTCGCTATAGAGTACCCCACTGCAGGCTAGACAATTATAACATTCTGACACGTTCCTGAGCCTGAGTCTGACCGCACCCGTGCTGCTCACTCTACTGTCACGCGTCTGTTAGCCATAGTTGTCACTGACCCGTCGTTTGAGTCTGCTGCTGCGTCTGCCTTTGTTGCTGAGCTTGTTGACTTTGCTGCTGCCTGTCGTCTAGACTACGCCGCTAGTCTTGTTGCTGAGTCTGAGTCTGTCTGTCCTCCGTCCGTCGGGGTTGAGTGTGCTCTTGGCACGGACATCCTTGAGGACAGGCAGGAGGACCTTGAGTGTCTTGGAGCCGTTGCGCCTCACCTCGTGTCCATGCTGCTTGCCCCTGAGGGAGACTCGGATGCTCCAGACATCCTAACCCCGCGCTCTTACGCTGAGGCGATCGCGGGTGAGTACTCCTCTCACTGGCACACAGCCATGGACGCAGAGATGGCATCCTGGAAGTCCACAGGCACCTATGTCGACGAGGTTCCCCCTCCTGAGGAGAACATCATCAATGGCATGTGGATTTTCAGGGTGAGCGGCCGCCAAGTTCTCCGCCTGTCTTCAAGGCTCATTACGTTGCTCGAGGCTTCAGTCAGTGAGAGGGAGTAGACTTCATTCAGACTTTCTCCCCCACCCCGAAGATGACCACTCTTCGGGTGCTGCTCCACGTCGCTGCTCAGCGTGACTACGAGCTTCACTCTCTTGACTTCAGCACAGCTTTCTTACAGGGCAGCCTGCACGAGGAGATCTGGCTGCGCCGCCCTCCTGGCTTCACTGGGTCGTTCCCTCCTGGTACCTAGTGGAGCCTCCGGCGGCCAGTCTACGGTCTCTTCCAGGCACCACGTGAGTGGCACGACACACTGAGGACTACACTTGCAGCTCTTGGGCTTGATCCGTCGACTGCTGACCCGTCGTTGTTTCTGCGCACCGACACGTCGCTGCCGCCGTTCTACATCCTCGTGTACGTCGACGACTTGGTCTTTGCCACTGCTGATACTGAGGCTCTCGCCCTGGTGAAGTCGGAGCATAAAAAAAGACACACGTGCACAGACCTGGGTGAGCTGACAAGCTATCTTGGCTTGCGGATCACCCGGGACAGAGCACGCCGCACCATCACACTAACTCAGTCACACATGGTGCAGCAGGTCCTTCAACGCTTCGGCTTCGCCTGGTCCTCAGCACAGCCGACTCCTCTGGCTACAGGTCACTCGCTCTCAGCTCCACCTTCGGACGAGTCCGTAGAGCTGAATGGTCCTTACCCAGAGCTAGTAGGCTGCCTCATGTACCTGATGACTTGCACTCGTTCTGACCTCGCGTACCCTCTTGGCCTTCTGGCTCGCTACGTGGCTCCTGGTCGGCACCGAAAGGTGCACATAGATGCTGCTAAGAGGGTACTGCGCTAGTTGTACAATACGTCAGGCATGGGGCTCATGCTTGGAGGGAGGAGCTCAGTTGTCCTCACTGGGCACTCAGACGCTTCTTGGGTTGACGACCAGGCTACTCAGCAGTCGTCACAGGGTTACACCTTCAGCCTTGGCTCTGGTTCAGTTTCTTGGCGTTCTACTCGCTCGTCTTTAGTTCTCAGCTCCAGTTGTGAGGCTGAGATCTACGCCACAGCCATGGCTGCACAGGAGCTACGCTGGCTGACCTACCTGCTGACCGACTTGGGAGAGCGGCCTCGTTCTGCTCCAGTGCTGTACGTCGACAACAAGGCTGCCATTGCCTTGTGTGAGGAGCACAGACAGGAGCACAGAACGAAGCACATCGCTGTGCGTTACTTCCTGGCTCGAGAGCTGCAGCAGCGTGGTCAGCTTCGTCTGCGTTACGTGGCCACTCAGGCCAACACCGCTGATATATTCACCAAGGCACTTCAGTCTGGTGATCATCAGCGAATCTGCACTTTGTTAGGCCTTGTGCCCACTTTTCCTCACTTGCTGTAGACTTTGTTTGTACTGTGATCTATATATATACCTGCTTGCTTGCTCTGCTATGTAGAGATCAATGTGTTGTTGTTGTTGTTGCATATATACCTCTGCATGTGAACTGGCCTTGTTGCCCTTTGCTTGTGCTCAGTGTGTGTGGTGACGTTGTGATCCACCTTGAGCTTGCTTTGCTTCTCTTGACTGGTCTTGTGACCCCTTGCTCTCCCCCACTTTGCCTATGGGGGTGTGTCAAATGATATATATGCTACATATTCTTAGGCTATAGTGGGGTAGCCAATATGGGGTACAGCCCACATTAGGGTTTCATATTTGTACCTCATTCTCTCATAGTTCCTCATTCTAACAAGAACGAGTAAGAAAAAACGCCACGATCAACCAAGCTAGGTCTACGGTTTCGGGCGCCAATGGTCGGTCGTCTAGCAGCGCGTCAACCCGCAAACTTCCTGCGCGCGCACTGGTCTGGTCGACGAGCAGCGCCCGTCTGACTTGAGCAGAGCGCGCTAGGCTTAGAGGACGAGGAGCAGCGCGTGCCCTAGTCTAGTCGACGAGCAGCGCGCTTTTGGCTTGAAGAACAATGATCGGGTCCCCTCCCCTCGCCGCGCCTCCTGTCCCATCGTCACGCCTCCCCTAGTTTCTGGGAGCCTCCCCTCGTCACGCCTCCGCTCGCCTCCCCGAGCCTCCGCTCACCTCACCACGCCTCCGCTCGCCTCGTCGCGCCTCCGCTCGCCGCCCCGCGCCTCCGTTCGCCGCGCCGCATCTCGGCTCACCCAGGCCTCTCGATATCAAGGTGATTCACCCTTATGACCCTTACTATAAGGGTGGGTTTGACTATGCACCCTTTTTTACAAGACTGGTTTTGTTTTAGACCCTTACAAAAAAAAGTGATCGATTATACGACACTGATATTTCGAAGCTATGTGGTGTAGTAGCACTGATGAAATCGAGTTCGATCTAAGAGTGGATACCAGGATTGGTTGCGTAAAACGTATTTTTCGCACAGGACGCCCGCGCTGGGTATTGAATTCGGGCCCTCCACATAATTTTGACTACTCAACGCACTGCCACATCAACATCCTACATACTATGGAGAGTAAAAATACTAGATGAATGATTAGATTTGTTTGCACCCTGATTTTTAAGAGCAGTTTTTGTGAAGCACCCTTATTGAAAGAGTCAAGGCTGGGTGTTGGCCTTACGAGAAAGAGTACCCCAAATCCTATCCAGAGGCCTGGGCTCACCTCCCCGCGCCTCCGCTCGCCTCGCCGCACCTCCCCTGCCATCAGCGCACCAGCACCCTTTTCTCGCTGCCCCTCCTCGCGCCTCCAATCCCGCTGGACTTCTCCCACCTGCCCATCCCTTGCCCTCGCTTCCCTGCCCTTCCATTCCCTCGTGTTACCTTACCCTATATTTTTCCCATCTGCTTCCCCTCATTACCCCTCCTTTTTCCCCTTCATTTACCCCGCTGCCTCCCTTCGTTTCCCCATCTGCTCTCATCATTTCCCCCCCTTGTTCTACTCATTCCCCCCCCTCCTTCCCCTCATTTCTCTCCCAGCTTCCCCTCATCTCTCCCCCTGCTTCCCCTCATATCCCCCCCTGCTTCCCCTCATATCCCCCCCTGCTTCCCCTCATATCCCCCCCTGCTTCCCCTCATATCCCCCCCTGCTTCCCCTCATATCCCCCCCTGCTTCCCCTCATTTCCCCCCCTGCTTCCCCTCATTTCCCCCCCGGCTTCCCCTCACCCCCCCTTCCGGTTCCCCTCATTTCCCCCGCTGTGGCCCCTCATTTCCCTCCCTGCTACTCCTCTTTCCCCCCCCTTGCTTCCCCTTATTCCCCCCCACGCTTCCCCTCATTTCCCTCCCTGCTTTCCCTCATTTCCCTCCCTGCTTCCCCTCATTTCCCTCCCTCCTTCCCCTCATTTCCCCCCTGCTTCCACTCATATCCACTCCTCCTTCCCCTCGTTTCCCCCTCTTCTTCCCCTCGTTTCATCTTCCTATCTCTCGCTTTCCCTCTCTCCCTCTTCCCTATCCTCCATCTTCCTAAGGTCCTTCGTTCCCTCTCACCCTCTTCCTATCCCCTCCTTTCCCTCACCCCCGCTCTTCCTATCCCCTTTCCCTCTCACATCGTCCTATCTCCCCCTTTCCCATCCCCCCTGCTTCCCTCTTCCCTATCTCACATATCTCCCCTGTTTGACTTTTCTCTTGTTCCCCCTCCCCATCCCTCGTATTCCCTCCCTCTCCCTGGCTATTGCAGTGACTACACTGAATTGTCTTCACTTACTGCAACTCGCCTCAGCCCATCATCCCGTGCCATGCTCGTAGAGAAACCTGTTCCCGTCATGTTTTTTTTCAAGGCCTTGAATTGAAAAGGTACAATCAAAAGTATTAGGAACATGCCTCTATGTACCCTTCCCACACTATTAGTGTCATTACATTTTGGAAGAAGATCTTGCACTGCAGAAACAACAGTACATATTGTGCATTTGAGATGGATATCTCCAACAGTCGCAAAGTATCATGCTTGCATACAACACACAAGAAACAGGTGGTGGTACGGTGTAAAGCATTGATTAGCTGCGCCTCAGCTTGCTCCTCTGCTTCCCCACTGAAAATTAGGGGGGAAGCAGAGCGGAGGGAGGGGGGAAGCAGGGCGGAGAGAGGGGGGAAGCAGGACGAAGGGAGGGGGGAAACAGGGCGGACGGAGGGGGGAAGCAGGGTGGAGGGAGGGGGGAAGCAGGACGGAGGGAGGGGGGAAGCAGGACGGAGGGAGGGGGGAAGCAAGACGGAGGGAGGGGGGAAGCAGGGAGGAGGGAGGGGGGAAGCAGGGCGGGTGGAGGGGGGAAGCAGGGTGGAGGGAGGGGGGAAGCAGGACGGAGGGAGGGGGGAAGCAGGGCGGAGGGATGGGGAAGCTAGATGGAGGGAGGGGGGAAGTAGGGAGGAAGGAGGGGGGAAGTAGGGAGGAAGGAGGGGGGAAGCAGGGCGGAGGGAGGGGGGAAGCAAGACGGAGGGAGGGGGGAAGCAGGACGGAGGGAGGGGGGAAGCAGGACGGAGGGTTGGGGGAAGCAAGGAGGAGGTAGGGGGGGAAGCAGGGGAGGGGACGAGGGGAAGCAGGGAAGGGGATGAGGGGAGGCAAGGAAGGGGATGGGGGGAAGTAGGGAAGGGGATGGGGGGAAGCAGGGAAGGGGATGGGGGGAAGCAGGGCAGGGGATACGGGGTAAGAGGGGATAGGATGGGGGGAAGCACGGCAGGGGATACGGGGAAACAGGGAAGAGGATGGGGGGAACGGGGGCAGATGCCAGGGAGAGACCTGGGGGGAGGATGGTGGGTAGCAGAGAGGGAATCAAAACGCTGTTCGATTGTGGTGGTGGAAGCGACCACCTCTGTTTCTCCCCATCTGTTCCTCCCCATATGTTCCTCCCCATCTGTCCCACCCCTTCGGAAGGAATGAGGGAGGAAGGATGGGCTGGAGATAGTGAGATGGGGAGATGGGGAGAGGGGAAGAGCGGATGGAAACGCGGATGACGAGGGGAAGCGCGAGTGACTGGGAGGCAAGCCCGACGACGGGACGTGCGGGCGACGAGGGGAGGCGAGGGCGGCGAGGGTCGGCACGGGTGATGAGGGGAAGCGCGAGCGACGAGAGGGAATGTCGGTGACCTAGGGAGGTGAGGGCGGCGAGGATCGGTGTGGGTCGACGAGGGTGATGAGGGGAGCTCGGGTGACGATCTGAAGCGCGGTATGTTTACTACTAGTAATTGCGACGAGGGGATGTGTGGTTAACGTGGGAGAGCGTGGGCAACTACGGGAACATATGCGACCAGAGGGTCGGGGAGGGTAATGAGGGAAAGCGCGGGCGACGAGGAAAGCGGTCTGACGTGGGCAAGAGCGGCCGACGAGGAGGAACATGTGCGACTAACGGCTGAGTGCGTTACGCGAACCAGTACGGCATTCGTGTGAGCGACCCGTGCCTAAAACGGTACGATCGTGACACGAGGCTGAATGGCAGCAAGTGTGACAAGATCATGCGTGTGCGACGCGAGCTTGAATACAAGACTCGAGTAACGCGAATCTCGTTTACTAACGTAAGTGCCGTGGGTGTACGGGTTGTAACACGAGACCGGTGACGTGAGGGAGAGATTAGAGCGTGCACTGACTAAGATGGTTGAGGTGGACTTATATTTCTTTCCGCAAAAAAAAAAACACCTATCAACGACTCACTTTTGCCAACTAGCGCTAGTTTTTGCCTTGGAGCCTCCTAGCCTATGAGTATTACTTGGTAAACAAGTTATGTGAGTGGTGAATAGTACAAATGGTTGGCGATCATCGCGCGAGTTCTGGTTTCGGGAACTCGGGTTCCGTTGCCGCAGGAAGATTGCCTGGGGTCGCGAGAATTTTCTCAAAACAAGTAGGGTAACCCTGTTATTGGCGACTTCAAGTTCAAGAACAGGCCCTACGATATCAGGATTTTTTCCCTGAAATTCCTGATTTTCAGCCTAGTTTTGTGTACCTATACTGAATTTTCAGTGTTGAGATTTTTGTGACATTGATTTTTTCAGCCTTTACTTCATAGCTAACACTGATGTTTCAGACTTTTATCAAAGTGTATACTGAATGCACATTCCGAATCCTTCCCGTAAAACACCCGAGAAAATAAGTCAACCAACATTTCCACATAATAATATGTTGTGTAAAAAAATACTGGCCGTTGTCTTGATGAACTGGCTTGGTGGTTAGCGAACTAGATACCGATTGGTAAGGTTTTCGGTTCAAATCCCTCTCCTATCATGTTCGTGAAGTCTACTTTCTTGCACAATTGCATGATGTGACTGAAAATTCAGGCTTTTGTTTTCCGGAATCCTGAAAATTCAGGCTTTTTTTTCTAGGAACCCTGAAAATTCAGGCTTTTTTTCACAGGGACCCTGATGCATCAACATCCCTAAAAGTGAATCTGAGGGCCTGTTCAAGAATCTTGAACTTGAAAATTTCCATGCTGTACTCGGGCTTTAAAGCTGTCGCCTACATACCTGGCGGGAGAGGCTCTGGTTTATCACTTGAAAACCAGGTAGCATTCTACTTCCGTGGCGAGGCTTGTTTCCCAGTTTGTGACAGCACAAAGCCCGCTTGAAATTTCCCTACTCATGATTGGCTATATAACTTCGCCAATCCCCTCCCCAACCCAACCTCACGAAGTGATCGCGGAGTCGTCGAGGGTTGTTTCTGTCAAAACATTATAGCTTATGCTGTTGTGTAGGCTATAGTGGGGTATCCCATAGGGGGTACAACCCAATTAGGGTTTCATATTTGTACACACTTCATTCATAGTTCATCCATTCTCGTTCTCACTCTTCACATGGTATCAGATCAGGTCCCCTCCTAGGGACTGTTCCTTGGGCCCACCGAAGCGCGCCTCGAGTCGCGCCCTTTCTTTTAGCGGCCCGTCGAGTCGCACCTAGCGGCCCGTCGCGCCGCCCTTACGGTCGCGTCGAGCCGCCCTAGCGGCTTCGGCGCGCCGCCCTTATCTCGGCCCGTCGCCGCCCTTACCCGCGGCTTCGCGCCGCCCTTACAGGCGGCTTCGCGCCGCCCTTACCTGCGGCTTCGCGCCGCCCAGGCCCGTCGCCGCCCTTCCCGCGCCTTCGCGCCGCCTCTACCTGCGGCTTCGAGCCGCCCCGGCCCGTCGCTGCCCTTACATACGGCCTTGCTGTGGACGGGGAAGGTTGGCGATGCGTCCGCGTTCCGGGTCTGGGGATCTCGGGCGTTTGTCCGCGACTTGTCTGCGGACAAGCTGTCCCCTCGTGCTGCTCCTTGCGTCTTCCTGGGGTTCCCCCCTGACGCGCCTGGGTGGCAGTTCTACCACCCCACCTCTCGACGTGTTCTGTTCTCCCAGGACGTCACGTTTGACGAGTCGGTCCCCTACTACTGTCTCTTCCCCTACCGCACTCCGTCCCTCCTCCCGCCCCCGCTCTTCCTTGTACCAGGTCCCCCCCAGGTAGACCCCCTCCCCCCTCAGGGTCCTGCCCTTTCAGGTGTGTCCCAGGAAGACGAAGTCGAGCCTGTCGAGGTCACTGTTGACTCTGGTGCTGCTGAGGGTGCTGCCGCTAGGGGTGCTGGGCCTGGAGGTGCTGAGTCTGGGGGTGCTGAGCCTAGGGGTGCTGAGTCTGGGGTTGCTGAGCCTGGGGGTGCTGAGCCTGGGGGTGCTGAGACTGGGGTTGCTGAGACTGGGGGTGCTGAGCCGGGGGGTGCTGAGCCTGGGGGTGCTGAGCCTGGGAGTGCTGAGCCTGGAGGTGCTACGCCTGGGGGTGCTGAGCCTGGAGGTGCTTCGCCTGGAGGTTCTCCGGGTGCTTCGTCTCGCCGGGAGCCACTCTCTCCACAGGAGCTGCGCGAGTGGATTGCCCGGCTGGCGCTGTCCTGCTCGTGCTAAATGTTCTTCGGCTGCTGAGGGTGCTGTGGTCGCGGGTCCCGGAGGTGCTCGTACTGGGTGTACTGGAGCTGCTGGGCCTGCGGGTTCGCCTGGAGCTGGTGCTGCTGAGGGTGTTGGCACTGAGACTACCACTGGCGGTCCTGCTGGGGGTGCTCCTGGTGCTGCTGGAGGTTCTGGAGCTGCTGGAGGTGCTGCTGGAGCGGGTACTCCTACTGAGGGTACTGGTGCTGTCCCTGCTGCTTCTGGAGTCCCCACGCGGCCTCGACCGTACTTTGTTCCACTCCTGCAGCAGGTTCTTGGTCTTCCACCTTCTACTGTTCCTCCTCCTCCCTTAGAGGGTCCACAGTCTGTCCCGTCACAGTTATAGTTGCAGCCTTCCTCCTCTTTGCCTGCTCCTTCTCCTTACACTGGTCCTACTGGAGGTCTTGCTGAGCGTCGTGAGCCTGCGTCCCGCCCTGCGTCGCCTGTTCGTGCTGCTCGCACTAGTGGTCGCAGTTCGTGGCAGCGTCCTCCTCCTGTCCCTGGCACGCACCAAATGTCTCTGCGTCCGTCCACTGCTCCTCTGCGTGCCCCTTTGCCTTCTCCTCCTGAGTCCTCTCTTCCTACTCTTGCTGCCCCGGAGTCAGACTCTCTTCGTGCTGCCAGTCCTACTGTCACGCGTCTCCTTGCTACTCTCGTCACTGACCCTTCTTTTAAGTCTACTGCTGCGTCTGCCCTAGTTGCTGAGCTCGTCGACTTTGCTGCTCGCTGTCGCCTAGATTACGCTGCTAGTCTTGTCGCTGAGTCTGAGTCTGTCTGTCCTCCGTCCGTCGAGGGTGAGTGTGCTCTTGGCACGGACGTCCTTGAGGACAGGCAGGAGGAGTTCTAGTGTCTGGCAGCTGCTTCACCTCATCTCGTGTCCGTACTGCTTACCCCTGAGGGAGACCCGGATGCGCTTGACATCCCGACTCCGCGCTCTTACGCGGAGGCGATAGAGGGTCCCTACTCCTCTTAGTGGCAGGCAGCTATGGATGCAGAGATGGCTTCCTCGAAGTCCACAGGCACCTACGTTGATGCTGTCCCCCCTCCTGGGGCGAACATCGTCAGTGGCATGTGGATCTTCAGGGTGAAGCGGCCACCGGGTTTCCCGCCTGTCTTCAAGGCGCGTTACGTGGCTCGTGGCTTCAGTCAGCGGCAGGGAGTTGACTACTTTCAGACCTTCTCCCCCACCCCGAAGATGACCACTCTTTGAGTACTGCTGCACGTTGCTGCTCACCGTGACTACGAGGTGCACTCTCTTGACTTCAGCACAGCTTTCTTATAGGGCAGCCTGCACGAGGAGATCTGGCTGCGCCGCCCACCTGGCTTCACTGGGTCTTTCCCTCCTGGTACCCAGTGGAGTCTCCGGCGTCCAGTCTACGGTCTCCGCTAGGCGCCACGTGAGTGGCACGACACACTGAGGACTACGCTGGCGGCACTTGGGTTTGCTCCTTCTACTGCCGACCCGTCGCTGTTTCTGCGCACCGACACCTCTCTGCCGCCGTTCTGCATCCTCGTGTACGTCGATGACTTTGTCTTTGTCACAGCTGACACTACTGGACTCGCCTACGTGAAGTCCGAGCTGTAGAAGAGACACACGTGCACAGACCTGGGTGAACTGCGCAGCTTTCTTGGCTTGCAGATCACCCGGGACAAGGCACGTCGCACCATTACCCCGACTCAGTCACACATGGTGCAACAGGTCCTTCAGCGCTTCGGCTTCACGTACTCCTCGCCTTAGGCCACTCGTATGTCTACTCGCCACTCACTCTCAGCTCTGCCTTCGGATGAGTCCGTAGAGTCGAGTGGTCCGTACCCAGAGCTTGTTGGCTGCCTCACGTACCTGATGACCTGCACACGACCTGACATTGCATACCCTCTTAGCATTCTCGCACGCTATGTTGCTCTTGGGAGACACCGACCAGAGCACATGGCTGCAGCGAAGAGGGTGTTGCGCTACTTGTGTGGTACGTCGGGCATGGGGCTAGTGCTTGGAGGGCGGAGTCCAGTGGTCCTCACTGGGCACGCGGACGCTTCTTGGGCTGACGAGCAGGCTACGCAGCGGTCGTCACAGGGTTACACCTTCAGCCTTGGTTCCGGCTCTGTTTCGTGGCGGACTACTCGCTCGTCTTCTGTTCTCGGCTCCAGTTGTGAGGCTGAGATCTACGCCGGGGCCATGGCTGCACAGGAGCTTCGCTGGCTCACCTACCTGCTGACTGACCTTGGCGAGGTGCCTCGTTCTCCTCCAGTCCTGTACGTAGACAACAAGGCCATGCTGGCCTTGTGTCGAGAGCAGAGACTGGAGCACAGAACAAAGCACATCGCTCTTCGCTACTTTCTTGCGCGTGAGCTACAGCAGCGTGGACAGTTGCGGCTTGCGTACGTGGCCTCTGAGGCCAACACTGCTGATGTCTTCACCAAGGCACTTGCGCCTTGTGATCATCAGCGCTTCTGCACTGAGCTGGGTCTTGTGTCTGTCTTGCCTCACTTGCTTACTTCTTGACCTTGTTTGTACTGTCACATATATATATACTCCTGCTCTTGCTTGCTTGCATGTGAACTGGCCTTTTGGCCTTTGAACTTGTGCTCGGAATGTGTGGTGACTTTGTGATCCACCCTGAGCTTACTTTGCTTTGCTTTGTTTGACTAGTCTTGTGACCCCTTGTTCTTGTTGGGCTGAGAAATAGCCCTTAGGATCTTTGCAGAGAAGAACTCTAGGGGTATAAACTTGTAATAGCGGAAGCGTTCAATGAAGATTATGAACCAACCTTGCACTGGTGTGTGAGAGCAAAGTAGATTGAATTAAACAAGCAAGTACAAGGATTTATATAAGAATACAGGGAATACGAATAGATAAACAGATAACTGTATTGCTGTTGCGGTTCGATATAGTGCGACTCGGGCAACTGCTCTGTAACGAGTCAGTTGTGTGTCCTTAACTGTCGCGCTGTAAATGTCGAGTCAAAGGTCAGCGACCTTTGACTTTCTCGTAACCTCCAGGTGGTTACTGTAACCTCCGAGGTTTGACACGATGCATCGAGGCTGACACGATGCTTCGATTGGGACTGCTTCGCTTGGTGTCTTGGATTCTGATACGACAAAAGCGCACTTAGGACTTATCGTTTCCAACACTCCCCTTCGCTTCTGGAGTGTCGCTGCTGGTGACGTGGCCTTGTCCAGTCAGCAGCATACAGTATTCGAACTTCTGCTTCGCGAGCTTCTTGGTCAAGTAATCGGCTGCCATCTCAGACGTGGGACAGTATGACAGATTGAGTTTCCCCTTTTCGATCTCGTCCTTCACGAAGAAGTAGCGTAGGGCGATGTGTTTCGTCCTGTTTGCGAAGCCGTTCTTGTTGGCGATGCGAATTGCCGACTGGTTGTCGCAGAACACGGTGAAGCTGGGTAACTCGGCTAGCTTCGCTTCTTCCAGTAGTTCGCGAAGGTAAAGTCCCTCCTTGGTGGCTGAGCAGAGTGCAATATATTCTGCTTCTGCTGAAGATAGTGCGATTAACTCCTGCTTGCTCGACTGCCAGGAGATAGGACCGATAGGCTCAAGGCGGTAGACATAGCCGGTGCGTGAGCGCCTATTGTCGGTGTCGCCGGCGTGATCGGCGTCGACGTAGCCGATTAGCT